AGCTCAGTGGCAAAAGCGCCTGCCTGGCAAGCGCAAGGTCGTGAGTTTGGTTCCCGGTACCGGAGAAAAAAAAAAAAAAAAAAAAAAAAAAAAAAAAAAAAAAGAATTTGCCTTACATCATACAACAAGAATTTGAATTCTAACTCTAACCTCATGCTTCACTACTACCCTAATACCTTACCAAGGAAGAAAGTGAGATGTGCAGCCATATGAAGCATTGCACTCCTCAAAACATTACTGAATCAGAAAATACTAACATTCTAGGGCTGGGGATACCACTCAGGTGCACAGTGCCTGCCTGGCAAGCACAAGGTCCTGAGTTCAAGTCCTGGTACCAAAAAAAAAAAAAATTCTAACATTCAGTATTAACCACTCTTCCCAAAAATACTGGTTTCCCAAAATGAAGATCAGTATTTTATGATCATTAAAAGTCAAACAAACAAGTAGCACAAAGACTTTTTAGTAACAATAGTAAAAGTACAAATGATAAAAGAAAACAATAAACTAGATTTATTTCATCAAAATTTAAACTTTTAGGCTCAAAGGACACTATCAAAGAAGTGAAAATATTACCCCCAGAATGAGAGAAAATATTTTTAAGTCATGTATCAGGTATCTAGAATATATAAAGAACTTTTGCTACAATAAAAAGACAAAAATCCAAATTCAGTATTGGACTACAGAGCTGATTAGATATTTCTCCAAAAATATACAAATGCTAAGCAAGCACATGAAAACATGCTCAACATTATTAATCATTCAGGAAATGCAAGTTGAAACCACAAACTGGCACTTATTACTCACTAGGGCAGTGATGGTGAACCTTTCAGAGCTTTCAATGATACAACACCCCCTGCAGCACGCATTCCATGGGTTCGCCACCACAGCTATATAGTAATAGCTTCAATAAAAAGGACAGACAACTGATGTCCCCTCAAAGCATCATGGGGTTTTAGGGAGTGACTGGATCCTGGATAATACATGTGATACTAGATTATGCCACTGATTGGCTTAGCATAGCTCTAGGTGTGGGTGATGGACTACCTGAAGAGTGCAGACCCACCCTGGATGTGGCTCGTAGCCTGGATGGAATAAAAAAAAGAAGGAGGGGCTGGGGATTTAGCTCAGCGGCAAAAGCGCCTGCCTGGCAAGCGCGAGGTCGTGAGTTCGGTTCCTGGTACCGGAGGAAAAAAAAAAAAAAAAGAAGGAAAGCTCGCTGCTTCCTGCCTACCTAACCTGACATGAACTGCTCTCCTCTCAAATCCCCCTCTGCCATGCCGCCCCGCCTTGGACCCAGCTGATTATGGACTGAAACCTCTGCAGACTGTGAGCCATAAAACTCTCCTTTAATTTGGAGGTGTCAGGTGTTTTGCCCCAGCAAGGAGAAACTAAGAAAATAACAAATGTGAGGATGAGGAGAAAATGAAATGTTGGTTGAAACATAAACCAGTATATAGCCTTTGGAAAGTCTGGCCAGTCCTCAAAAAATTAAACAGAGCTGTTATGTAAATGAGCGAATCAAAGGCTACATATGTATGCACAGCAAAACTTGAACGTGAATGCTGATGAGCAGCATTATTCATAATAGCCTAAAAATGGAAACAATATAAATATAACCTCAGCTGATAAATGGATGAACAAATGTGGCAAATTTCCCTATAATTAAACGCCATCAGGCAATAACTGAGAAGAGCACTGACAAACGCTATACATGGCCTTTAAAACATGCACTACATAAAAGAAACTAGTCACAAAATCAGGCGGTCTGATTTGATTTTTATGAAACATCCAGAATAAGCAGAGGTACAGGAAGTACATTTGTAGGTGCTAAGTGTTGGGGGAGAGGCTGAAAATGGGAAGTGACTGTAAAGTAGTCCACGGTTTCTTTAGGGGTGATGAAAATGTTTATAAATCACATACTAACAATGATGACACAATTCTGTCTACACTGAAACTACCAGATCATATATGTATGTGGTGTATGACTATCTCAACAAAGCTGTTAAAAAATCTAGAGATGTGGTGGCCTATGTCTCCAGTCCCTACTACTCGGGAGACTGAGGCAGAAGCATCACTTGAAACCAGCAGCTCAAGACCAAGCTGAGCAGTACGGCAAGCCCTCACTCCCTTTCTCAACGCAAATCATTACATTTTATTGTAATTTCAGGAGAATGCTCCATTTTCACCTAAATTTGAGATAGATTCAAAGAATTAAGACTAATTCACTTAGGATTATCTTCTATATTTTAAAATTACTCTACTCACCTGTCTTACAGAGCATGAAGACTCATTTCCAGAAGATAGTTCGCGACGGCCAGCGATCCTCCTACGGTAAGTTGGATATTTACGTCTACATGTCCTCTGCCTAGACTGTGACCCCAAAACCACTGAATCCAACTGAAACACAAACATGTTTGATGCAATCAACACCCAAATAAGGACAGTATCAATAAAGTGGGCATTTTATCAAGTTTTTTGCTATATACTGTTAACTCCAGCTTGGTATGTCTATCTACTGTTTTTTTGGGAGACAAAGATAAAGAGTTTCACTATGTTGCCCCTGTGGCCCTGAACTTGCAATATACTCCTGATTCAGCCTCCTGGGAGCTGGGATTCCAAGTGCGAGCCACCACATTCAGCTTTCCATTTATAGTGTCTTTGGAAGCATGAGAAAAGCCACGTTGGATCAGCATTTGTGAAAAACATATTCTAAGTTAACTGGGTTACCATGAGTGGGGTAAAGTAACAATAACTCAAAAAGGATGTCACTTTAAAAAATACAGACTCTCAAGCCAGGCGTGGTGGCACACACCTGCATTCCCAGCACTCAGAAAGCTGAGAAAGGAGGATCACTGCAAGTCCAAGGCCAGCCAAGGCTACAGCCATAGTGAGTTTCAAGACGAATACAGAATACATAGCAAGAAGGGGCTGGGGATTTAGCTCAGCGGCAAAGCGCCTGCCTGGCAAGTGCAAGGTCGTGAGTTCGGTTCCCGGTACCGGACAAAAACCAAAAAAAAAAAAAAAAAAAAAAAAACAGAATACATAGCAAGAACCCATCTCAAAACAAACAAGATAGTAACTCTCAAAAGGGACAAATGAATTTATATACAGTACTGGGGTGTAGTATATGATCTTAATGCATGCATCACTAGCTATAGAGAACAGTATAAATCAGTATCTGAAACAGTCCTCCAACAATCATTTCCACATTTAAAGTTCTTAGATGAACTCATGTTAGTACTTTTCAATTCTGGTGGTATTATTTAAATATATTTTTACTAAAACAAAATATTTTTTAAAAATCAGTCAAAGAAAATCAATGATTTTAATGTTTAAGAGGAACTGTACTCCCCTCACTTGGACAAAAGGCTTCCCACATTTCAAATTTTCTCTAAGATTTCAACATTTCACCATAAAGAGACAGAAAGAAAATCTAACTGTAAAAATTAAGAAAAATCAACGTAAGTAGAAACTAGTCCAAAGGGAAATAAGATGTTAGAATAATAAAATTACCAGACCTCTGTTTTTAAAATAAGTATGAATGAGAACTTTAGCAGAAAACTAAGAACTCTCAAACAAACAGCAAATGAAAACTCAGACTAAACTTAGTAACTAAAATTAAGAATTTAGTAAGTTTAACAGCAGACTGTACACTTAAAACAATGTACTGGATAAAGGTCAAGAAAAAAATCTGTTAGCAGGACAGAGCAGCAAAAGAAACACAAAGGCACCAACAGAAAGCATTTAATATACACTTAAAAGGAAAGATATACAGAAAGTAAAGGATGGAAACACATACAGTACTATGGGCACACCAATCAAAGAAAGCTAGCACAGTTCTACTGTAGCAGACAATGCTTGCCCCATAAGCCACTATACTTCAGAGTTTCTCAGCTGCCCAGGTAACAGTTCCTGTTTCAATTCCAGCTGCTCCTGTCTCTTGGATAGCTGGTCACTGTGATGTGTAACCGGTCGCTGTGATGCACATTGTATACACCAATTCCCAACTGACAAGCCATTCTGCCCCTGTACTTCCTGCTTGCTTATCCCTTATAAGCCCCAGACCATCAGAGCTCAGGGCCTGGTATTTTGGGAGTGATCCCGATCTGTGCCCACTGAGGTAAATAAACCTGCCTCTAAATCCTGGGTGTCATCTGGTGTTTCTGTTTGTCAGTGCACTATTGCTACTATAAAATACAGTGATTATTCAAATAAGGAAACGGAAAACCCCCAATTTATATGCACCGAATAGTAATAGTTTCAAACCACATAAAGCAGAAATTTAGAGAAGAAATAGCCACAGAAAAATGTGCAGAGAATTTTTGTTGTACATAGGTAGCAGTGTGGGCATTAATTGTTATGGCTAAATATCATAGTTTAACAATCTTATTTCCAAAGTAAATATACACAGATACTAAAAGATACATACAAAAAAAAAAAAAAAACCCGCTAAACACAGTCAAAATATGAAAAGCAGCTAGATGTCCTTCAAGAATAGGCTAATCGGGGCTGGGGATTTAGCTCAGCGGCAAAGCACCTGCCTGGCAAGCGCAAGGTCGTGAGTTCGGTTCCCGGTACCGGAGAAAAACCAAAACCAAAACCAAAAAAAAAAGAATAGGCTAATCAAACAGCAATCTATTTACTAATTTGGTATTTCAAGGAAAACAAATGAACTACAGCTTCTTGTACCGACACAGTCTCAGGAGACTCAATAATCAAAGCCAGACAAAAAACAATTCTGTATGTTATGATTTAATTTATACCAGTGTTTCCCAATCTTTCCAACACACTACAGGAAACAATGGAGACTCCCTAACTGTCCTCGGGTGACTTCAGCTTCACAGACTTGTTTACAGTGCCTCGAGCTATGCTTTAAACATCTGCTTAGAAAACAAGCCAAAAGCAGTGTCTCCTCAATACAGAGAGTGAAATGACTAAAAAGTAAAGACAAAGGTGGGGCCCCTCACTGTGGACTGAACCCAAGACCTTCACACTAAACTATATTCTCTAAGCTTTTGAATTTTTTATTTTGTGTCAGAATTTTGCTAAGTTGCCCAAACTGGGCTTCAATTTGTGAACCTTTTCCCTCAGCCTCACAGAGTGCTGAGATTATAGGCATGTGCCACCACACCCAGCCAAAAATGACTGAAGGTTTGTTAAAAGCCAAATTTAAAAATTTTAAATTTAGCCAGGCATGGTAGCATACACCTGTAATCCCAGCACTCAGGAGGCCAAAGGAGGAGGATCACCATGACCAGCCTGGACTATATAGTAAATTCAAGGCCAGCCTGAACTACATAAGTGAGATCCGACCTCAAAAAAAAGGTTAAAGTTATTCATACTTTATTTGATAACATTTGCTGAGTAAATTAATGTAATACGCTAGATGTAGTGGTACACACCTATAATCCCACCACTCAGGAGGCTGAGGCAGGACAGTCACTGTGAGTTCAAGACCAGCCTGAACTGCATAGTGAAACCTTGTCTCAAAAAGACAAAAATAAATAAATATTTTTTAAAATTTAATGTCATTTATTTGGCTACATAAACTGTAATTTATCAAACTAAATATGAAAATAAAAAATTTATGAACACACAAGAGCAATGTAGTCAAATATTTTAAAATTATTCAAAACTTCACTTTTCTAACAGAAATAAAATACTTTTTTTTTTTTTTTTTTGGTTTTTCTCTGGTACCAGGAACCGAACTCACGACCTTGCGCTTGCCAGGCAGGCGCTTTGCCGCTGAGCTAAATCCCCAGCCAGAAATAAAATACTTTAAAAATTAATTTTATAGACTGGGTGTGTGGTGGTACATGCCTGTAATCACAGTATTCAAGAGGCTGAGGCAGAAAGATCAACCTGAGTTCAAGGCCAGCCTGGGCTACATAGCAAGTTCAAGGCCAGCATAAATTACATAGCGAGATCCTGTCTCACAAAAAAAAAAAAAAAAAAAGATAAAGAAAAATCACCATTTTTCACTGTAACTTGTTTTAAACACTGGTTCTCTGGGCACACTGAGCATTTTAATTAATCCAGTTTTAATGAAATCCTGTAGTACAGAAGAAAATCCAAAGCGAGAAATAATAACAGTAGTATTTTAGCCAGTACAGCAAAGCTCTGGATAACCACAAATCATTTTAACATCCAAGATTTCTTTTAAAAGTATGATTTTAAAACTTCAGGAAGAGCCAGGCGTGGTGGCGCATGCCTGTAATCCCAGTACTAGGAAGGCTGAGGCAGGATAATCCTTGCAAGTTCCAGACCAGCCTGGGTTATAAAGTGAGCTCAAGGCCAGCCTAAACTGCGTAAGTCTCAAAAATTAAAAAACAGAAAATAAAAAAAAGCCCTTCGGAAACAGACAAAACTAACTAGCCATTTGGGAAGGCAAAGAATGGAGCAGGAACAGGGCATAGAGGCAAAGTGTCCTGGTATGCTGGGAGGGCTACCATTCTCAGCCTGCATGGCTAGGAAACAAATCATTCCCAGAGTCCTCTAACACTGCTAGGCAAGGGGCAATTAACCTACGTTTTCAAACTGGTTCTTCCTAACAGTTATACAATGGCTAAGTCTTGCTATTTAAAACCCAAAATCAAAACGAAAATTCTTAATTTCAATTTAATTTCTAATTTGCTCATTCCTAAGGAAAAAGAATTTACCTTTTGTGAGAGCTGCAGAGTCTTCCTTTTTCTCCCTATTATATAAAGATTTCTTTCCTCTTCTCCTTTTTCTATTCGAAAGTCTTCCAACCTCCTAAAAAATTAAATATCCAGTTATGAGTCACCAAACTGATAAAGAGCAAAAGTAAATCATTATGATTCTAAAAATCTTAAGTCTCATTCACATGATACAACAGAAAGATGATTTTGCTGTGACCCATTTCAAAGCAGAGGACATGCCATCATGAACATATGTTATCATTCTTCTCTTCTGTGAAAAAACACTGAACATTCTTCTCTCCAGTTTTAACATTACTGAAAATACACAGCTCTATGTTTTGAACATTCTAATGGAGCAAAGTTTCAAGACTAGTATTTGGCCATGGCCTGTATACGAAAAGGACAAAGGCACTGAGGATGAACGCTGGGTTCCAGGTAAACCTTTTCTTCTCAAGGTGCATCTGCAGCCCACACTCACATTCTTCTACCCACAGGGGACTGCTAAATCAGACTCAAACCTCCACCACAGTTGTCCGTTTCACCACAAAAGTATCCCAAAATGACCCTTTTGGGTCTAATGACCATAAAATTCAGAAACCTACAGAAGGCTTAATTATAGCATACTATGTACATGTTAGTAATCTGTAGTATTTTTCATCAAAATTCAAGATTTTGTTTCTCATTAATTATTGTGTGCCTATAGAACCTCAAATTACACACAAGTAACATCTGATGTTACTCAAACTTTTTATTAAACTTCTGATTAAACACATGAAGGAAACACTTCTCAAAATTACCTTCAAGGTCTTAGTTATATGAACTCAACAAATATGACAGAATACTGAAACATTTTTTGTTGGTTTTTTCCAGTACTGGGAATCAGACTCACAACCTCGTGCTTGCCAGGCAGGCACTGTGCCGCTGAGCTAAAACCCCAGCCCTTGAAACATTTTCGCCAGTACTATAAAAACGTATTTGCAAGCTAGGCATGGTGGCACACACCTACAGTCCCAGCATTTGGGAGGCTGAGGCCAGGAGGATCATGAGTTCAAGGCCAGCCTGGAACAAAGCAAGATCCTGTCTCCAAAAAAAAAGTATTTATTGCCTCCTTTTCAATGACTCAAAAATCCAACATCACAAAGCAGCAAGACCTCTACTGCCCAGAATATAATTATGAAATAACTTCTCTCATTAAAAGAAAACAAGCCTGCTTAAAACAAAAGACTGATTCTACATCTAAGTCAAAAAACACAAGAGGAACTGTAACCCCTCTTCCATGGCTAACAGCCAGGATGCTGTGCAAGACTGATACAACCACTTCAAAAGGACCAAGGAGTCTTGAATGGGCTCCTCCTGGCCAAAGAGGGATCAATAAAGACCATGAGAAATAAAGTGAATGTCAGAAATTTCAACAATAAGCAGATATTTCATTATACTGAGTTTCTTTAAGGTACGGTAATGGCACTGGGGTTCTACTTTAAGACAATTCTTTACATTTTAGTAATATATAATGAAGTACTTGTAGACAAAATGACATTATGTCTGCAATTTCTTTCAAAATAACCCTGAAACAAAAACTGTGGTGAAGCACACCTGTAATCCCAGCTACTTGGGAGACAGACAGGAGGATCTCAAGTTGGGGGCCAACTCAGGCAACTTCCCAAGACCCTATCTCAAAATAAAATTAGAAAGAGTTGGGATATAGCTCAGGGGTAGAGCCTCCAGATCAATACTCAGCACTGCAAAACATTTATAAAAATAACAATACTAAAAGGAGAAAAATAAAAGTATAGATGAAGTAAAATTGGCTATGAAAATACTTACCAAAGTAAAAAGGTTAGAGAATAATTTTGATTTTTTTAAAATCACATTTAAGATTACCATTCACTGCTAAAAATATATTTATATGATTATGAACACAACTAATGGAATAAAAGGTGTGTAAGTAACCACATGAATATATTTTCACAGATAGAAACAACATAAATAAATATCCTAAAACAAACCTAAATATGCCCAGTGGTACCTCTGGTACAACCACTCTTCGTTTCCAAGCCTGCAGGTCCCGTTCTGTCGCAATCTGACTCCGCGGGGCATTTTGGTGCATCTGGCGGACACCTTCAACTTGTCCACTGCGACGCAAACCAATATTTGGAGGGGACTGGATGTCTAAACTTACTCTTCTAAAGCCTAGGGAACAATGATTAAGAAATGATGCCAAACTAATTTGCAGTAAATACACATTTAACAAGCATGTATTCTTCCTATAGACCAAAAACAAATAAAAGGACCTACTGAAAAAAAGCAAGAGAAGTCTTGATGTGACTAAGATCAAAAAGTAAAACACCAAACATTTAACTACTAAAACTTGACTCTGAGGCGGTGTGATGGTGTGTGCCTGTAAACTCAGCACTCAGGAGCCAGAGGCAGGAGGATCACCCCAAGTTCGAGGCCAATATGGGCTACATAGTGAGTTCAAGGCCAGCCTGAACTGCAAAGCGAGACCCTGTTGAAGAAATACTTTTTAAATGGAAAAGCAAATAAAGTTCTAAGTTTAACTGCCAGCCAGGTGTGGTGGCACATACCTATAATCTCAGCACCTGGGAGGCTGAGGCAGGAGGACCGTAGTGAGATTAAGGCCAGCCTGGACTACATATTGAGTTCAAGCCCAGCCTGAACTACATAGTGATGCCTTGTCTCAAAAATCAAAAAAAATACATATTAAATCAAATTTAAAAATCTAAATTTAACTGCCCATGTCATAGTGTTATTCTCCAACAATCTGAAAACATGTACAAGGTTCATTAATCACAAAATTTCTTATAATAGCTAAATATAAGGAACAAAATAAATGCTCATAGTTATAAAAACAAGATGAAGAAAACGATGTGAGGGGCTGGGAATCTATATTCTATAATCTATATATTAGTGGCACAGCGCCTGCCTGGCAAGTGCAAGGTCCTAAGTTCAACTCCTGGTACCAAAAAAAAAAAAAGAAAGAAAGAAAAAGAAAGCCATGTGAACTGACATGCAATAACTCCTAAAATATACTGTCAAAGGACAAAAGCAAGGTACGGAGGAATGTACGTATATCTTGCATCCCCTCCCCTAACACATTGAGGACCCAATACCCACTACTCAGGATGCTCCCCTATAATGTTGAATCCAATCATGAGGAAATGGTCAGACCAATCCACGTTGAGGGAAAAAACCTGCAAAACAGCACCCAACCCTTTCAAACTGTCTGTTATGAGAAAACTTTTTGAAATTTAAAAAAAAAGACATATCTAAATGCAATAAGCAATGCTTGAATAATCCTGAATTTTTAAAAAAGCCATGATGAAAGACAACATGAAGGAAAAACAGTGAAATGAGAACTACAAAGAAGAGTAATATTGTAAAAGCAAAATCTGTTGAGTGAGGCCATTGTACTGTGGTTATGTAAGAGAATAGGCATGGCTCTTTCAAGACACAGAATGACACATTAAAGGTAGAAAGTGTCACAAGTTGTTTCCAACTGACTCTCAAATGCTGATTCAATTTTTCAAGAATTACAAATGTTAAAACACAGGGAAGCTACAAGTATAGTTTTCCTTTAAAAGACACTTTCTTTACCAGGCACATTCCAAGAATCCTAGCTACTCAAGAGGCTCAGGAAGAAGGATCCCAAGTTTAGGGTCAAGCTAGGCCACTTAGTCAGACGCTATCTCCAAATATAAAAATGGGTTAGGGATGTAGCTCAGTGGTAGACGACCTGCCTGGCATGTACAAAGCTCTGGTTTCTATTCCCAGTAATGAAAGTAAACAAAAAAACTACTTTGTTATGTGTTCCTATTAAATAATTTTTGTAAATATTTTTAAATAAGGCAAAAAAGGTTTCATCATCCTTCCATAGCACTTGAAAATCAAATGAGCATTTGCTACATCATCTTATCAAGTAACAAACCTACCTCAGAATACTTCAGCTGCAAAAGTATCTCGCTTAAAGTTTTTCACAATGCACATACTTGCCAGCAACCTTGGAATTTTCAATTCCAACACAGCCACATTAACTACTTCCCAGAAGTTTATTACCTCTTCGAGGCGTCTCTTCCCCATTTGCAAGTCCACCTGGCCCAGTGTCCTGCTCTGCTCCCATCCTCTGATCTTGCTGCTGCTGCAGCTGCCTTATCATTCCATCCAGGATGCTGGACTCTGGGCTTCCCTCGCCGTTATCATTGGTTTGGAGGCTTATGACTTGTTCAATTACCTCTCCGTCACCTACAAATTCAATTCATGAATATGCAGTCATGACACACATGAGCAGAAAAAGAAGGCAAAACTTCACGAGACTCCAATTAAAAATCTGTTAACAGAGCTGGGGATGTAACTCATGGGTGGAGTACTTGCCTGACATATGTGAGCACTACTGAAGTAAAATACATTAACATTTGTCTGAGCTCCTGTTTTCAAAAAATACACAACTAAAAAGATAATTTACACATCTATAACTAAGAAAAAATTCAAAACAAAACCCATAGTTTAAAGCACCACAGAAACCTCACAGGGCCTCTGAAATCCTAGGAAGTAGAGAATGTTTCACTACCCCCTTACTGACCAGTATCTCCCTGTAACACAGCAACGTTAGGTAGTTTCTGATGTGGAGAAAAAGCAGTAACATTTAATGTCTTCTCTACTATTTTAAGGAAAGGGGTGGGGAGAAACATCTTAGGCCTTCAACAAATGACAGCGGAGCTCTCCTTTGCCCAAGTATGCTCAGACTGCACGCAGGCTGATGGAGGTAGTCCCACCTGACTCTCCACTAAGCTTCACTTACTTTACCCCTAGTTACCTTTTTAACAGGGCTGGTACCCATACTTCTTTGCTCAAGCACAAAATTAATTTTTCAAATATCCCTTTTCAGAGGTATTTACAACAGGTGTATGATCAGTGTAGATGGGAAAATGTGTTACACGTTTGTGGGTTTGGAAATACGTTTTAGAAATACGTCTAACTACTATTTTCATGCAAAAAACCCTTACAAAGTCTCCTACCATAAGATATATCTGTTTTGAACACAGACTCAATATATATAAGCCCTATCTACCCTTTGTCCTCTCCTCTTAAATGGAGCATTAATGAAAAGGAACGCGAAGATATTACTTGCCACCATAGTAAGAGCCAAAAATTGAACTCACAGAGCATTACAGGAGGAAAACACTTCTATCCGACTACCCAAGCATTTAGATATATGCACACAAGTATCTTCGTTTTACTCAACTCATAACATCTTCATTTTACTATGAAAACCAATAAAGAACTTCCAAAGGGTACAGTTATGCTTCAGATTAACTTTATCTTAAAAAACTGTGAAATTTTTAATCACTCAAGAAATGAACTGAAAAAGAAGTGGTGAAATTCCATCTTATTAACAATATTTAATGTAAACAGTCTACACTCTCCAATTAAAGGATATCAGATTGCACATGTCTACAAAAAAACCTGCATAAATTGAAAGACACAGTCCTGAGTTTGATTCCTAGTACCAAAATAATGAAACAGTAACAATAATAATAATAATCTTCAAAAAAATTTTTCCAGGGACAGAGACATCTTATAATGATAGAAGAATTAATTTATTAAGAGAACCCCAAAATGTGTATATACCTAATGAAAAAGCTTTAAAATACAGAAAGTAAAAATTAATAAAACTGAAGAAAGAAAAAAGGAAAAAACAAAACTCAATGTTATAGTTGGATAGCTCCAATCTCACAACACCCCAAAACTGGGAACAAGGCAAATGTCTCCCAATTATCAATGGACGGATAAACAATGATGGCACATCCACCCATCCATCCATTTCATAGGGCCCTATCTAATAATAACCCAAAACAAATACCTACACATGTAGTAACATAAGACCTTCAAATCCACCACGCCAAGTGGAAGAAGTCAGGCACCAAGTCTACATATTGAACGTTTCCATTTATAGTAAGTTCTCCTTACCCACAAAGGACGTGTTTCAAGACCTCCACGGTGGGTGTCAAAAACCACAGATAGTACTGAACCTTATAGAAACTATGGTTTACCCCAAACTATCTATGTGCACAAACCTAACGCCTTTTCCATCTTAAAGCACTACTGCACACCCACACCGTGACTGTAATTTGTATTTGTGTTTTGACACAGGGTCTCGCTACAGAGTGTAAGATGGCCTTCAACTCTATCTTGGAGGCTGGTCTCAAAACTGAGCTCTTCCTGCTGCAGCCTCCCATAGTACTGGGATTACAGGCATCCACCTTGGCACCTGGCCTGTGGTTTAACTCTTGTAATTTGAGATGCAACAGCAAAACCAGCACACACTTCTTTTTCTTTCATCACAATTTCACAAAACAAGATTCAATCTTACCACAGATTTCAGCAACTTCAGCATATTGTATATTCCTTTCCTTATCAAACACAGAACTTTCACCTTTTCACTCAAAGAAAGAGTATTTCAGCTTTTCTCTGGCGTACCTGAGTTGCCACCATCACTAATCTTGCACTCTGGGGCTGAGTTAGGATAGAAGAAATAAAAGGTAGAAAGGAGACCAGGAAATCATAATGAAAAACTGTACTTTGTCAGAAGATTGCAACTTCAGGCCATAGCGGAGATCACCCCAGCAGCCGCCCCGCCAAGTGACAGTGGCTGGATTTACTGCACAGCCTTTCTTTCTAGGACCAGCCCATCACCAAAAGGCCATAAACTGGCCCAATTATGAAAGTAAACAACAGGCTGAGCAAACCCAGAGGCTGTTCAAATCACCTGTTCTGAAAAACAAAAACAAAAACCATGCTTGTGAACAGGCTGGTACCTTTTGTGCATGCGTGCACACACACACTTTCCCCTTAGCTTTTCACCGTCTCAAGGAAAGTACTCATGTGCCCAGTTCCAAACCATAATACATCTCATTTCTCTGAGCACCCACACTACCCTCTCGAGTGTGTCCTATACTCTCCGCCTTTACCTAACGGACCAGTGATGGCAAACCTCTTAGAGCTTTCAATGACACCAAACAGCTGGCTACAGTATGCGTGCCACAGGCTCACCACCACTGAAATAATCTTAGTAGTGCATTTTTCTGACACGTCCTGAAAATACTTTCTCTGCAACGGGAGTTAGCAAATCTGCTGCAGCAGAGTCAGCTCAGTTTGGGAAACTCTCAGACCTAGCATAATGACAGGGTCATGGTGAAGTAAAGTTAAGAGTTACTTAAACACAGCAATGCAGAACTCGAACAGTCGATCTGCTAAACAACAGGGCTACCAAGTGGGTAATAGGTCATTAGTTTATATATCATAGATGTGCTAGCCAAAAGGATTCACGACCTAGGCAAGATAACACAAATTTTATCATGCCACTCAGAACATCATGTAATTTAGAACTTCTTACTTACTTCTGGAATTTGCCATTTAGTATTTCTGAACAGTAGCTGACTACTGGTACACAGAAGCACATTAAGTGAAAATAGGTAAGGAGACTACTGCATATATAAGCACTTGCTAGGTAAAATTAAAGTGACAGAAAAGAGAGTAGTAGTCACAAAGGACTGGGAAGAGGAAAAGACTGGTTTTAAATGAGCCCAGGGAACATGAAGAGCAACAGAAATGTTCTGTGTCTTGATTTCAGTGATGGTTGTTACATGATTAATATTTGTCAAAACCCATCTAAACTGTTTACTTACAACTGGTGGCTTTTATAATATATGCAATACACTTCAATAAAATTATTTAAAAATAAACATTTGAAATTACATCCAGGCCTGGTTTTGTCACACACGCCTATAATCCCAGCACTCGAGAGGCTGAGACAAGAGGACTGCTGTGAATTTAAGGCCACCCTGGGCTACAAAGTGGGTTCAAGGCCAGCCTGAACTGCGTAGTGCAACACTGTCTCAAAAAGACAAAAATAAAAACAAAATCATATATATTTGGTGATTTCACTCCACTAAGTAAATCCTCACCCAACCAAAATAGCATTCTCCCCCTAATATCTGTAGAAAGAAATACTTCACTATTAACACATGAAATTAAAACTCTGCATCTGGCTAACAGAGGAGAGGCAGAAGATGATCCTAGAACATCTGGTGCCAAAAAAGTAAGGAACTGCATTTACAATAAAGGGGACTCAAGAGCAGACAGCTTGAAAAGGTTTCTCAAGAGATAAACCTAAGGATAATGACTACTAAGTAATGCTAACCCACTATTTAACAACCCATCAGAATGTACTAAAAACATAATGAATTATGCCAATAAACACAGTGACAGAAACTCATAATAAAATGTAGATGAACGATGATGAAGTTAAAGTAACTGTCTATGCAGCTTTCATAGTGACAACCTACACAATGGATCCTAAAACGTGGGAAAAGTCACGCAAAGAACAGAGCATTTACATACCTTACTACTCGTTACAAAGAGAAAAGTAGTAACTTTATAGTGGAGAAACTTGGCAAATGCAACATCAACCAAGTATTAAAGATATTACCAGTCACTGGACAAAACACAAATCATAAGCATGCTGACATAGTACGGTCCATGAAGACAACATCATTTATGAAGTATTCTGTCAAAAGCACAATCAAATTCCAAGAGGCAAACCCAGCCTACAAAATGCCTGATATAGTCTACAAAATCCCTAGCCTACACTGTTCCACTATACCAATGGCATCGAAGTCAAAAGCTAAATCCTTGCTCCAAATTGCAGGAAACTGATGCTCATGGTGGCACTTGCCTGTAATCCCAGCACTCAGGAGGCTGAGGCAGGAAGAATGCAGTAAGTTCACGGCCAGCCTAGGCTACACAGTAAGATCGAAGCAGGCCGGCACTACAAAGGGAGATCTTGTCTCAAAAACAAAACAAAATTAAAACAGATTAAAGAAATATGACATCTACATTTCAAGTGTAGTCTAAACTACAATCAGTGAACAAAAGAGCTACAAATTAGAATTGCCAAATTTTAATTACAGACTATATATTTGACAACAGCATTATATAAATGTTAAATGTCCTAATTTTAAAAATTGCGTATTAAAGTACATAGGGGTAAGTGGGCCTGAGATAAATTTTATAAATACACACACACACACACGATAGGATAGTTATACTACTTCTTTTAGTTCATTGAAAGAAACAGTTTGTGCTTATATTGTTTGATCAGTTATGCATGCCTATATCTTGTAATCTGAGCAATTAATTTGAAGATAACAATATATATTAACCACTGTTAATCTATTATCTTCTTTTAAAATTCTGTTACTTTATTATTTTTGCCCTTTAAAATAAAATTTAAAAATATATATCAACACTTGAACCTAAAAAAATGGAAGTTGTTTGTATTTTTTTAGTGTTTCAAATAAAAAGTTTAAAACAAGAAAAAGAAATTAGAAAATAAAAAGACTTCTCACTTACTTGTGGCCACATAGCCAAGCTGTGGAACCAAATGTTCATCGGCAGAATTTTCCCGACCAGGCACCAATCTCTGATATTTAGTTGGATGAGGATTTCCATCAACATCCACCAAGAATGGCGGAGGCATAAGATGAGGAGCCTGTTGAGTTTGCTCATCTAAGACATAATTATTAGAATCTCTAATCAGTGGTCGGTAGTCAGTATGGAAGAACATCTGATCAGGAATCTAGAAAAGTATAAAGTTCACATGATGACATTCTAAGATTTGTAAATGTTAAAGAAAACAAATATTTAACATTAAATAAAATTTAAAACACAAGGAAATCAATACAGCTGAAGTATTGCCAAGCCATTTCTCACAACTATCTGTTCTATATACTGCAAGAAAACATTTAAAAAATAACCTTTTCATATGGTTTGCTGCACCCAAAACCAAATATCAGAAGATGCCCATGAGAGTCTGTACAGGCGAAATGTTGTCCATCCTGTGAAAACTTGCAGTCAAACACAGCTCCATGTCCTTGGCCTTCAATCTAGGAAAATTGGAGAGAAGACAGTGCTATTAAATGTAGATAACCTGCTACAATATATCCCTCCCTGAACTTTTCTCCCAGACAAAGCTGGGGGGCAAACTCAGGCTTTGTACACATAGCACTATACCACTGAACTACAGCCCCAGCCCCTACAAAGAACATTTAATTAACAACTCTCCATTCAGCACAAATGTCAATACTGTAAGGTGCTTTTCAGATAACACTAACACACTGAAAAAAAAAAAAAAATCCTTAAAAGACATTGTAACACCAGTTCTCAAAACTAACGCTCGCAACCAAATAATCCAAAAGGAAGGCTTTCTTTACTCCTTACAAGTGAATGACAAGCAATCCCATTCATCAGCTTTTACTTTCCTATATAATAAAAAGACTAACAATCTACTGGGTAAATGACCTGAGATTAACAACGTTTGATGTTTACATACTAAAATGTAAATTTTTCTGGAAGGTAAGGAGGGCTCTACTTCGACTCATTACTAAGGTGACTGGCAACCACACACAACTGGGCAATGCTGCAAGCCTGCAGCACACACATGTGAATGCTAGCAGCTGCTCAACTTCAATCCACCACCAATTTCAGGGAGGGTGCTGCTCTCAGAGCATCTGAGCCTTAATGTAAACCTTTTTGTGAGGCAGGGTTTCACTCTGCAGCTTAGACTGGCCTTGATTCACTTTGTAGCCTAGGCTGGCCTCAAATTCCCAGCAATCCTCCTGCCTCAGCATCCCAAGTAATGGGATTACAGGTGTGTGCCACCACACCTACCCAAGCTCTTATTCTTTCTTTTTAGCTGTGCAGCATACTAATTCACCATCATCGATTTATGGGTAAGTTAGTTGTTTGGTTAACACTACAGTATGAAGCTACACATTAGTTCTCAGGACCTATAATTTTCCAATAATGTAAACTTTAAGTGTGATCAGTGCTAGAAAATTAATCATCCACCCACATCTGTGAAAAGGAACACATCCATGCCCAAGTAGGCCACTGTACTAAAAGCAGTACTTCCCTACCACCATTATACTAAACACGGGTGGGTACCAATTAGCACACCTAGAAAAAATGAAGTCACTGCCATTATTCAGGATACTGCTGACTAAAGGCAATCTATACCTAAATAGGTATTTTTCTCCAACTGACTGCTACACCATGGACACCCAGATCCAGATGCACATGATCCCTCGCCACGGCAGCTGCCTCTCACAGCACTCGTCTGCCTGGCTGGGCTCCTACACAGTAAAACACAGGCAGGTGGGCAGGAGCCTGAGGGTGGCAAGGAAAAGACAGTAACAGCAACTCTTCCCAGAGTACCTGTGGGCCAAAGGCACCACAGCCTTCCCACAGTTACCGGTTAAGAGGCAAGTCTTGCAAACGGGCAAACCTATCTCCCTAGAGTAAGGAAGAATTGGATTTTTTAGGAATTCCTGACAAAATCCCACCCGTAACTGTGACCTCAGAACAACTCAATGTCACAGAAGTTGATTATGTATGTACGAAGTTGATTATGTACGTACGTATGTACATTGTACTAACAGTATTGACACACCTGTGGGATTAGTCTAGCACTACAGAATTAAGAGTCTTTCAGGAGAAAAGATAAGGAGAACGTAGCATAAAAGGTCAACTATTAGCATTTGGCTTAGCAGTTATTCCAATCACGTATGTTGTTTAAAGCCTGAATTAATGTCATTTTGTGCTATGATAAGCTAAATTGAACCTGGACTAGTCTTGCTGAGTGTTAAAGGATAACTAAAGAATGGATGTACTCTACAATTTTAATGTAATCACAAATTTGTAAAAGAAGGCCTGGTTCTTCTTCCAATAATTTGAATACACAAAGACACAACTTGCAGAGATGTCTAAATACCTATTTGTAGTCTGGCATAGGATGGTCTTCAAGTCTAAGAACTATTCACTTATAGGGGCCTACTATGCTGCTTCCAAAATTAATTACACTTGGAAATAGAACTCAATATAAATAGTGAAGTGTAATTTCTTTAAGCATATCTCATATGGCAACAGAATCTAATCATGAAGACATAGACAAAACTGAGGGAGACATTCTAGCTAGGCACAGTAGAGAGCACCTACAGTATCAACTACTTGGGTGACTGAGGCAGGAGGAATGCTTGAGGCCAGGAGTTCAAAACCAGTCTGAACAACAACAAAAAAACCCTCAGTGGGGCTGGGGATTTAGCTCAGCGGCAAAAGCGCCTGCCTGGCAAGGGCAAGGTCGTGAGTTCGGTTCCCGGTACCGGAGAAAAACCAAAAAAAAAAAAAAAACCCTCAGTGACATTTTATGACATAACTTGTGTATACTCATCAAAAGTCAAAGAGCAGCCACGTGCTGTGGCACACACCTGTAATCCCAGGTATGCAGGAAGTTTAGGCAAGAGGATTCCAAGTTTCAGGTCAGTCTGGGCAATTTAGTAAGACTCTGTCAACATAAAAAATAAAAAAGGCCACCTGTATTCCTAACACTCAGGAGGCTGAGGCAAGATGATCACTGTGAGTTCAAGGCCAGCCGAGACTACACAGTGCATCTAGGCCAGCATGAACTACATACCAAGACCCTGTCTCAAAAAAAAAGTAAAAAATAAAAAGGCTGGATATACATCATCAGTGGGAAAGTACCCCTGGATTCAATTCCCAGTACTGGAAAAACAGTAAAAATGGTGAATGAGCAAGAAGGAAGACAAAGAAGACTGAGGGCTATTAAAGAAAGGAGAAAGACAAAATCACTTAGTACAACGAATACATCACACTCAGTTGGGACTCTGGCCTAAAGAGCAAAATACACCTATCCAATGCACTACTGGACTTACTGGCAAAATATGAACATAGACCTGGACTAAATAATACAATTTTATCAATGTTAAATTTGATGTATTTATGGTTACATAAGAAATTCTAAAAATATACAACAGTATCCTAATTTGATTCAAGAATACAAATACACGTAATAAGGAAAAAAGATGAAACAGTCTAATGATATTTGATCCCTACATTCTATTTAGGGATGTATGCTGAGTAATAGTTACTGAGTACTAGCTTACTGATAATTATTTCTTACAGTTTTATCTGTTATCAACTATTTCAATAAATTCAATCAGTGAAAAAGCTGTTTGTATAAGTACCATAAATTTGTGAATTTAAACCAACAGAAGTAATTCTCACACACAAAAAGCTATATAGATAACTTCTGAAAATCTTCTCCCTTGTATAAAACAATTATGCAGAGAATTTCATGCATGTGTAGCTATATAAGTCAGTAGCTATATAGTCAGCGATATAAGTCAGATACTTAAGCTTCAAGTACTCTGATTTCTAGAAAAACAAACTGACAAAACCTACAAACTAAATTCTGACTATTGCTTGTAAATCCAAATTACTCTAAGCAAATGCAAAAATGCATAAAGATCCTCCTCACTTACCGTATTAAAATAATGTTTCAACTTGGTGCCTTTTGTAATATCCCATATAAATATGCTGCCATCATGTCCCGCAGATAACATAATTCTTGGATCGAAAGGATGTGTCTCCAAAACAAATACTTCATCAGCATGTCCCTTTATTCCAAAAGTCATAATATTAATGATGGTTTACAAGTTGTAAGTTGAAAATTATATTTATAAAGTTGCTCATACTGTCAAATTACATAAGGGATTTAAAAATATATCAGTGACAGTAATTTAAAACATTGCTATTTATAAAAATTTCCAGTCATTTGGTAAGTTAAACAAAACAACTTCTTCAGCACGTTAATCTTACAGGTCAGGCCGGGGATATAGCTCAGCGGCACAAATACAAGATCCCAAGTTCAATTCCAAGCACCCAAAAAAAAAAATATTTTTACATGTAACAGTTCAAAAATTCTGATTCATCTCATCTAATAAGAACTACCTACCAGTAAATTATGAAGCAGCTGTCCGGTGTAAGAATTCCATACTTTGAGGACATGATCATTCACAGCTGTGACAACAATGCTATCATTCTGATTCCAAGCTATCATTGTTACTTTGGGTTTCATAAACCTTTCTTCTTCTGAAGACAAGTCTCTAACAAAAAAGTACATATGGTATAAATCATTTGGATGGTAGGGTATACAATGTATATGATCCTTCATCAATACAAGAATAACTAAAGAAATCTAATTTGTGTGCCTATTTTATTAGTCCTATTATTTATAAAGAGTACATCACACCTGAACAGATTACCTAGAAAAAGATCAAGGCAAAATCAGGTAGGTAGTAAACAAGTTAGAAGCAGTTCAGAGCTACAGGCACATTTTGGGATACCACATCCACTTCTCAAAGTACAGATATTCCACATTTAACCGCTTATCTGTTTAACAACTGTTTAGATTTAAGGCTTTCTGTACATGTTGTTTATGGAGCCTCAATGTCTTTTTTTGGTATAGTACACCTTATTTATACAATACAGTAATTTTCACTGATTGTACTGTGTAATTCTATAGTTTTACACTGTCATACATTATAGTACATCATGTCAGTTATGCAAATAAAAGCAAAGCCATCAAGGTGGAATTTCTTTTAACCATTTCTTTCTTCTGAATATTATAATGTACATACTGTATACAATTCCTCATTTAGTGACCAATTTAATTAACAACCCAGTCACAGGACCATAGATTGGTCATTAAATGAAGAGTATAAGGTTTTTCTCCCCTTTTTTTTTTGTTTTTTTTTTTCAGGTACCGGGAATCGAACTCATGACCTTGCACTTGCCAGGCAGGCGCTGTGCCACTGAGCTAAATCCCCAGCCCCCTCCAAATCTATTGCTAACACTTACTTTGAACTGTTTCACCAGTGAAAGCAAGGAAAGAAATTTTACCATTTTCACATTCCCAATTTCAAAAAAACTACCTGATATGTATCCTACTGAACTACAAATGAGACTCTTCCTCTTTTTATTTCCTTGTCCCCAGGAGACACTTGGCAAGAACTACCATAGATACACACTACAGTGATTTGCAACCTACACTTTCTCTGCAAACAACAGTATTATGCAATAAATAGTGGAAAGAAGAACACTAAATTATTAAATTATCAACATCAAATTATCAATAGCTTGGGCCAGGGGTATAGCTCAGCAGCCCAGTGCCTGCCTGGCAAGCACAAGGTTTTGATTTTGTTTCCGCGTACCAAAAAAAAAAAAAATTCAACAGCTTTTCTATATACCAATAATGGACTAAGAAGTAAGGAAAACAATTCCCTGCACAATAGCTTCAAAAAATAAAATATCCACGGATCAATCTAAACAGGCAGATGAAAGACAGACTTCTACAATGAATATTTCTGAACACTGAAGAAAGACACCGAAGACATTAGAAGATGGAAAGACATCCCATTGCGTGGATTGGTAGAATTAAAACAGCCATATTACCAATGTAATCCTCATCAAACTACCAATGACATTCACGTAACTAGAAAAAACTACCCTAAAATTCATGCAGCAATACAACAGATCTGGAATAGCCACAGCAATCCTAAGCAAAAAGACCAAGGCTGAAGGAATCACAGTACCCAGTTTCAAATTATAAAGCCACAGTAACAAAAGCAGCATGGTACTGGCACAAAAACAGATATGTACATCAATGTGACAGAATAAAGGACACAGAAACAAACCCACATAACTACATACAGCAATGTGATTCTGAACAGAAGAGCCAAAAACACACATTAGAGAAGAGACAACCTATTTAACCAGTGGTGCTAGGAAGACCGGATATCCATTTACAGAAGACTGAAACTGTATCCCCTCATACCTTGTACAAAAATCAATTCAAAATGGATCAAAGATCTAGGTATAAACCCTGAAACTTTGAAACTGAAAAAACATACGGGAGACAAGGTAGGTAATACAAATTATGGATATGATCAAAATATGTACACAACCAAACCCAAGAAGACCAAGACTGTAAATTTCCAGTATATATTATTTCTACTTTACAGCAGATAACTCAACAAAAATATTAACATCAAGTTTATTCTAAATGTTCAGTACAAATATTTCTACTACAGAGAACACTGTAAGTCAACTCCTGTTACTGAAAGTAAAGCAAACACAACAGTCTTCAAAAGGCAGAAAGTATGTGGACATTTCTCAAAAAAACAACTGATGTAAGAAAGTATAACTAGAAAAACTGTGAAGTAAAATTTCTGACTTTAAATTTCTATTATTCACATTGTAATTCAAGTGATAATGGCATTTTTAGTAGGCAAAGAACATTAACATGCCCATTCTAGGATAGTTTTCCAAAGGCTTTCACAGTACCATTTAAAATTCTTGGGCTTGGGATATAGCTCAGGGGTACAAGCACCTGGCTAGCAAGCACCAACTCCTCAGTTTGATTCATGGTACCAAAGTAAGTATCTAAATAAAATTCCCAATAATGCTTAGAGACAGAAGTGATTTCCCAGATAATGAAAAACATAAAAAGATAAAAACTACTAAATGATTTTTCTAGACAACATAAGTGACATTTGAGGCAAGGTCTGATTTCAAAATAGTTATTATTTCTACCACCCCTACTTTCAATATACACACACCAAAAAAAGAGCTTTAAATTTGCACTATTTACCTAGGAAAGTGCTATGTATTTCAAAATGCTAATAACAATATTGGTGACCTATAAGTGTTGGGTAGGTACGGATGGACACACCTTCAACATCATTTTATAAATCATAACATCAGCATAAAAAATTCTCACTGAAGCCCAACTTTTCAGAATATTAACAATAAAGTATGTTTGCTTCCCTTTATTCTCTAGCCTTAGCGCCACACTAGTTTTACAAATTTCGAAAATCCTATCTATAAAAAGTAAGATTTCCATACTTGACATACTTGCTTTAATTTTATAACTGTTTTCAACTGGAGGCTTTAAACGCAAAACTAAGAACAAGGTCAATTAATAGAAGTACATGTTGTACCTTTCTACATTAATTTGGATATACAGACTTTAAGTGTTGATCAGACACATAGCACGTAGCTCTCCATTTAAACAGAAGATGGTTAAAATCCTCTCAAGGAAGTAACCAGTAAATAGGGGTGGGGAAGTTATTATGCAACCACTTACAATGAGCAATCTCAACTCACCCTGAGATTTTGGTAGCCATATCCAATAAAATACTTCTCCATTCTAACTGTTCAAACCTCCAAATCCGTGCTGTTCCATCTCTGCTGCCACTTAGGAACCTTAAAAGATTCAGAAAAAGATCCTCTACTCACATATCTGCTATCAAAGTCTACAATTAAAATCAACATGCAAAAATAACTTTTAATGTAGCTGTCTTGATGACAGCCAAATCTACAGGTGTTATGGTTATTTAGGGCTTATCTGGTTTGCTATGGAAAAAATGTGCTTTGCTGTAATTTGCCTGGTTCTACACGCTGTAAATGCAATCAGTAGATTTTAGTAATGTTTGTTGAGTTTTGGAAAGATAATATAAAAGAAATATCTGGAGAGAGAAACAGGAAAAATTAATGGGAAATTAATGAGAGCAAAAATTCATTTGAAGCATCTTAATTTTAAGCTCTAATTCATGCTGGACATTGTGTAAAAATAATCATCAAATGAAAGCAAGCATAAAAACTACAGTTTAGGAAAGGTATCTGACATATATCAGGTGCCAGAAAGGATATAATTTAGGTAATGATTTCATTACAGAATACATGCCAGTGGTTGATTAGAAAATATTTTTAATCTTCTTTAAAGAAGATTTTTAATCCTTCTTTAAACAGAAGGAATTTCATCTTTTTTTGTCGTTTTGAGACAGGGTTTCACTATGCAGTTCAGCTTGGCCTCGAACTCAGTTTGTAGACCACGCTGGCCTCAAACTCCCAGCAATCCTCCACAGCTGGTGGAGTTTCATCATTCTTGCACATAATTTTTTCAGTAAATTGGACACCTAGCCAAAGAACAATCCAGGCATAGTGGCACATGCCTGTAATCCCAGCACTCAGGAGACTAAGCAGCTGGGAGACTAAGCGGGAGAACTGCTGTGAGTTTGAAGCCAGCCTGCGCTACTTAAGTGAGTTTCAGACCAGGCAGAACGACATAGCAAATCTGTCTCAAAAGGACCAAAAAACAAAAGGCAACAAGGAAAAGTTTTGTTCACGGAAACCACCAAATAACTCTAAAACTTTAAGTGTAATGGGTTTCCCTCTACTCTAGACATTTTTATTCAACTAATGTATTTACCGATAAGTATCTGCAATATAAAAAATCCTAATACCACAGTTAATAATAATGCATTAAACATACATTTCAGCAGGCGTGGTGGTGAACGCCTGTAATCCCAGCACTTGGGAGGCTGAGGCAGGAGAATCGTTGCGAGTTCGAGACCGGCCTGGGCTATAAAGTGAGCTCAAGGCCAGCCTGAACTGCATACAAAAGACAAAAAACAATGAAACAAAAACCATACATTTCAAAACTGCTAAGATTTTATATAATTCACTAGAAAAAAATAGGTATGTGAGGTTGTGGCTGACTTTAAATGACTCATTCCACAATGTAAACATATCAAAGCATTATACTGTAATTATTCGCAAATCAAAAATAAGTAAAAGAAAAATACACAAAGTGATATCTTCACTGTATTAATATGCAGCATAATACAGCTTCCTAAAAATGTATATAAATACACACCACCTTATATACACACATATACTTACCGGTCACCGTTGTTACAAAACTGGATACTATCTACTTTATCCTAAAATAGGAGAAAACAAACACCAAAAAAAAGATTATCTACACAGTTTGTAATAATTTTATCTCAGTGACAGCAACACACTTGGTTTAACAAACAAGGAATTTAGGGTTTTGTGTTGCTTAACCCAGTCTTTAACGCGTATTGTGATATGAAGTGCGAAGAGTCTAAGGCTCTAATACACCATCAGTCTGCTTTCAAAGCTAAGCACATCTAGTAGGAAAAAAGCCTTGCACATAAAAAGTATAGCTGTATTTACATTATGTCCATTTAAAACAACTTACATGGCTATGCAAAGGAACACATGGAAAGTGATCTAAATATAAAAATTTTACAGCACCTGAAATCAAGGCATTTTAACTTTCATTACTTATATACAAAAAAGAAATTTATGTTACTACACACTCATGGAAAAGCGGCCTTTCATGAGCTTGGTTAGGACAGCAGGTGTACTGGTAATCAGCCCATCCAGATCAACTACCATAATCAAGACTTAGTGCTTAGAGCTACAACGACCACTGTGAAATATTACCACTTCCAAGCTGCTAATCTGAGTTACAAACAATACTCTGCCCATCTATATACAATTCCTTCTATGTCTAAGTTAAAATTAAAATTTTTAAAAAACACCTGTACCTGAACATTTTCAGTTTTACAAATATATAAAAATCTACGGCTGGGAAGCAGCTCCGTGGAACAGTACTTCCCTAGAATGTGCAGGGCCCTAGGTTTTGATCCTCAGTACCATTACAAAAAAAACAACTGAATATGCAAAAATCTCTAGGTTTTTTTAATATAACTCAGCAAAAATATAAGATCACAATGACCCACCTCAAATTCAACTGTTATTTAATATTTTTAAATCTAACAAAATAATTGCATCAAAAAAATCTTTAAAACAGCTGAGATGGATGGCACACACCTGTAATCCCTGTACACAGGAGGCTGAGACAGGATGGCCACAAGTTCTGAGACTAACCTGGACTACACAGTGACTTCAAGGCCAGCCTGAACTACATGGTAATACCCAGTCTCAAAAAAACAAAATTTACAAAGAAAAAAACTCATTTTAAAAATAAAATTTGTTGCCAGGCATGGTGGTGCACGCCTATAATCTCAGCACTTGGCAGGCTAAAGCAGGGGGATCACTGCAAGTTCAAGACCAGCCTGGACTACAAAGTGAGCTCAAGGCCAGCCTGAACTGCGTAATGAGACCATGTTTCAGAAAGACAGAAAATAAAAATAAAAATAAATAAATAAAATTTGTTGAACAGAGAAAAACTAAAAATAAAATTAGAATAATGACAATTCCTTTTAGCAATGATAAAAATATCATTAATGATCTATAAAATTTAAAAATATGAATACATACTGTGTGGCTTTCAAGTTCTGCAATTTTTTCAGGTGCTTCAAAACCCAAAAAATACATTCTGATTACATGATCAGTACTTCCCGTAGCTAAAAACATACCACCTGAAATAGAAATGTTAAAGTTTTAACATCTTGCTTTTCTGAACAAATCAAACTGAACAAATCAAATTTCTATATTAAAATATAGAAAAAGCAAGCTCACTCATTCTAACATTATCTCAGTAGATCTACTTCTAACTCACCATCTAAAGAGCTTATAAAACTGTACTTGCAGCTTTAATCAAGTTGGAAATATTCACAGTCTCACTCTGCTTTACTAAGGACAGCAAGGTAAACACCAAATGTGTCCCCATGCTCTAAAAATACTGGAACAAAGAGTCTGCTTTCTAATCTACTTCACATACCTAGCTTGGGAAGAGTTCACCTGTTGAAGTTCTTACACTTTTATGAGACAGAACTCTTTGCTCTATCCAAAGAGAAAGGAAGGGAGGATGCTGGTCACCGCCAAACTCACTACAATCTATGAGAAAAGAGGTTCAATCCCCAGCACCAAGAAGAAACAAAAAAAAAAAGTGGAAATAAACTTGTAGAAAACAAATTGAAACAAACAGAATTCTCATAAAGATTCTTAGCAGTAGTATGGTCATTTATTAAAGTAGTAAAACAATTTTAAAAATTACCAGAGAAGTTCTTACCAACACTAAAAGAAGAACAAAGCATTTGAACTCCTGGCCTAGGCTTTTCAGTAAACTTCAGGGGACGTGGACTTTAAAAGAAGAAAATATTGCTTTAAAATACATTAGCTTAACACATCAACACGTTTGAAATATTTGTCTGTTTTATCTTTTTGAGACAGGGTTTCCCTAAGCCGTTCAGTCTGGCCTTGAACTCACTTTTGTAGTCCAGGCTGGCCTCAAACTTACAGCAATCCTCCTCCTGCCTCAGCCTCCCAAGTACTGGGATTACAGGTGTGTGCCACCATGTCTGGCTGAAATACTAGTTTTAATGAAGTACATTTAAATATAACTTTAGTCCTACAGTACCTTACCATATGCTAAACGTTCCCACCTATCAGAATGGCCACCAGAAAAAATATTATCGAGATAGATTCGAAAAACCATTACTGCATACTGAAAGAACAAGCCCACTAACCCCATTTTTTTCTAAGTATGGTGACTAAAGCTTGAACGGTCTCAGTGAGCACACAGCCAAGCAGGGTTTACAACCACCAGAGCACAGCCCAGCTGGGCAGGGGCGGACAGCAAACCGCCCTTTTTCCTGTAGCCACATTTTTAAAAAGTAAACAGAAGCCAGGTGTGGGTGGCACACACCCAGAGGCCCAACCACATGGGATATACTGAGGCCAGGAAGGAAGGCGCCTTGAGCCAGGAGTCGGAGGCCAGCCTTCGCAACAGGTGACCCCATCCCAAAAGATCAAATTATTTTTCATTTCACCCAACATATCATTTCATTTGGGTATCATTTCATCCAAAATATCATTATCAACATGTAATCAATCACAACATGATTTTAATGAAATACTCTACAGATTCTTTATTAAATATTTAAAACTTTTCTGTACGTATTTGACACATAAAATACATCTCAATGTGAACACAATTTTTTTCATCAAAAATATTTGATCTGTACTTGGGTTTTCCAAAACTCGTATTTCAAAATCTCAGACTCAAGTTCTTTGAAACACACTTAGAAATTTTCTAATAACTGAGTTGACTATGATGTTTTAAAGCTCAACTAATGGTACAGCTCCCCAATTACATGAGCTACATTTAAGTCACACTAGTGACAGCTGGCTAGGGACTACAGCACTGGACACTGTGAGCCATAATCCAGCTCTATGACTCCTTAGTGTTCCTGCTGGGACTTCTGACTACATACATGACTACACATTTCTAATATTTTAAAAATGGTTCACGTACATACTTTTTCACTGTTTACACCAAAATGTTTGCTAAGACAGAAAAACTATGCATCTTTTACACACTCAATTGTCTAAAAGTAAGTCAATACTATACATATGTTTTATATAATATATAAATTCAAAAGTAAAAAGGGGGGGCTGGGGATATAGCTCAGTGGCATTAGCGCCTGCCTGGCAAGTACAAGGTCCTGAGTTCGATCCCCGGTACCGTAAGAAAAAAAAAAAAACAAAGTAAAAAGGCAACCACAATACATAATCTCTCTATAATTGCACTTCATTTCATAAGACTAAATCATAATTGCATCAAAAAAGAAACTTATTATCAACTGTCACTTACCTGAATTTCAGAGACTGTAAATCCCATTGCCAAAAGCACACTGTCCCGTCAGCACCAGTGGAAACCATGTATCTCTGAGAGCCTTTGGCCATGGGGCTAAACTAAAAGGCAATAATACATATAAATTAGTTTCTAGAGATCCTCCTTAAATTATTGTTTAACCATCTTTCAAAATTAACTTCAGGGGCTGGGGATTTAGCTCAGCGGCAAAGCACCTGCCTGGCAAGCACAACGTCGTGAGTTCGGTTCCTGGTACCGGAGAAAAACCAAAAAAAAAAACAAACAAACAAAATTAACTTCAACTGACACACTACAGAAGTTAAACACAAGAAATTAAGAATTCAGGTGACATAACAGTGAAAAATCTAGCTGGGCATGGTGGTACATACCTGTAATCACAGCACTCAGGAGGCTACGTCACAAGTTCCAGGCCAGCCTGGGCTACTCAGTGAGTTTATGGCCAGCCTGGGTTACATAGAAAGACCCTGTCCCACGCCCCCAAAAAGTGAAGAATCTAAAACTGCACGTTAATTTATATATAATCTGATCTCAATAAAAGATGACTTTTAATACTGATAAAAATTACCAGGAAAAGTTTTGCACAGTAAAGATCTAGTACTGTGCTATTAAAGCAATCACAAAGCCTCAAAAATTGAAACTATCAGGTATAAGAAGTAACTTGACAGAATGGCCAGCAGAAAAAATATGAAACTCAAAAAAACACCCTGACACAGGAAAATGATCTCATCTCCAATATGAGAGGGAAGCAATGGTTCACCATAAATGGTGCTGATATGAGTGTGTAGCAATCTGGAGAAAAATAAATGCTAGATCCAAGTTTCAGACTATGCCAGCAGGGTACATTCCCAATACATTGGTAATTAAAAAATAAAATCATAAAAGCATTGTAAGATAACATACGTTATATTCCAACTTGAGAACAGAGCTAATATTTTTAATTTATTAAAGTACCACACATACTAAGCAAGCCAGAGAAAGGATGACCATTTTGTTCCAAAGACATTCAGGAAGGCTTAGAAGAAAATACAAGGAAAACAAGAAAATGACTCAAAGGAATATGACTAGCACAGGCTGGAAAGTGAATAGGACTGTGGTATGAGACAGGAGTACACAGAGGTACACAAGGGATACGTTTTCATGGTTGGAAGTCAGAAAGTGGGTTAAGTGGCGAGATAATCTGGAATTAAAAACAGTAAGGCGGGGCTGGGGATTTAGCTCAGCGGCAAAGTGCCTGCCTGGCAAGCGCAAGGTCGTGAGTTCGGTTTCCGGTACCGGAAAAAAACCAAAAAAAAAAAAAAAAAAAAAAAAAAAAAAAACCAGTAAGGGGTAACTATAGCAAAACACCAAAACGGCCAAAAAAATTTTATCTGACCAGAATACAATACTGACCAAAAGGAAACAGGTAATTATAGTAAAGAGCAAAGAACAACTCAATTAATTTAATTAACAATTAATCTAATAACAATCTAAGGAGCAAAAACTTTAACTGGAGTTGTGTGTAATCACTCCTCCTCCCTTGATTCCTCTCCTCCACCATCCCTCCCTGCCTTGCAGCCAGCCAATTACGGACTAAAACCTCTACAAACTGTGAGCCAAATAAACCTCTCCTCCTTTAACTTGTGGGTGTCAAGGTTTTTGTCCCAGGAACGAGAAAGTAACTAACACAAGCAGTAAGAACAATAATCTCTCAAAGGCCTTTTCAGCCATGTGTCTACTTCAAAGAAAGTCAAAATAATTTTCCTGAAACCTACATATTTTGAATGAATGACTACCACTTACTTACTGCATGCCAAGGATCTTAATAATTCTACTTCCTAAAACTTATTCAGGAGAAAAATAAGAAGTCCTGACTGTCTGTTGACCCTGTTTTGCTACTAAAGAATGCATTATCCAATGTACTATTTATGTTCACTATTAAAATGCCAATCTCCCCACATGCTTATGTATATATTCTAGACAGAGGTAACACTGTGTGTTGGGGATGGGAGGTAAACTCTGCAAACACAAAACCCACTGTATTTACTCTGGCAAGCTGAGACAGGAGACCACGGGTTACACCCAGAGTGGGTAACCTAGCAAGACCCTGTCTCAAAATTAAAGAGTTGGGTATAATGTAACACAATGCAAGGGCACTGGGTTCAATTGCCAGCACCAGGGAAAACTTCAAAGTTAGCAATTCAGAGGTATTTAGTAATATTTACAATTCTGTTCAAGCATTACCACAACCTAGGCAGATAGCTAAATAAACTGCGATCTGTCAAAGCATTTTTAATTCATTCCCTTGTTTTTATTTTTATGTTTTGATTTGGTTTGGTGTTTGTTTTGGTTTTGTTGCTGTTGCTTGGGATTTTTTTTTTATTTTTGACACAGGGTCTCACTGTATAATTCAGGCTCGTCTCAAACTCATGGCAATCCTCCTGCCTCAGCCTCCCAAGTACTGGGATTACAGGCTTGCGCCACCACGCCTGGCTGTATTTTTTAAATAGGCAATCAAACTGTTGAAAACAAAGTAGTATCTCTTCCTTTCCAACATTTATACATTTTTGTTCTTTTGTTCTTCCATTCCTGTTAAGATCATGTTGAACAGTTCCAGTAATAATACCATGCTTTCCACAAAAATTTAATTTTACGGTATTTTCAATCTACGTAAAAGTCACAAAAAGTACACTGAGCATTCATGTACCAGTCACCCCAATGAACAATGGTGCACAACCTGCCACCATCCCCTCCTGATGCAGATACACTGATGGGAGATGTGAACTGAGGGAACCTAATGGGAGACGCATCTCCTTCGCTTAACGCCCTCAGTCTGCCTGCCTCCTGAAAACAGTGACATCCCCTACGTCACAGTTAACATCACCCAAGAAATTCACACTGACACAACACTACTGTCTAATACGCAACCCATATCCAAGCCTCCCCAGCTTCTTTTCTGTACTGTGTATGTTTTCGCTCCTACACCAGAACCCGAATCAAAGCTCACTCGCTGCATCTTTCTGTCACTTCTCCTGAGGTTCCTTAGGAAACAGTTCTCTCACCTTTTTCTTTCTTGAAACTAATTTGTGAAGGATATAAGAGATTTATTACAGAAATTATTTCCCAACTGGATTTCTCTACTTGCTGCCTTATAAGACTCCAGTCATTTCTAACAAAAATTCTAAGTAGGTCAAGCAAGATTTTTAACTGCATGGTCAATGCACTTAACAGTTACAGGTCTTTTCAGATTTTTTTCCTCTTGTCAACCTCAATCTTGTGTTGTTGTTAGTATTTACCTTCAATGCTCCTCCATAAACATTTTCACAATGCCCTTTTTCATTATCTGAAAGCTCTGCAGCAGCACCCCTTTCTCAAACCTGACCATCATGTGTCACACTTCTTTTCTGCTCCATGCTTCATCTCAGTCTTTTACCAACACCGTGTATTTAATCTTCCAGAAAACCTTCCACCTCGTTGGTCCTCTCTCGTTAAGCATACTAGTCTAGCCTTAACATCTGTACTTTATCTTCATAATTTCCTTCTCCACTGCTCTTCAAATTTCTTGAAAGAGACACTTTATCCATGAACTTCAACTTTTTAATTTTTCTGTTTATTTTGAGAAATAGGTACCTCAGTATCTTGTTCAGGCTGGTCTCAAATTCCTGGTCTCAAATGATCCTGCTCCCTCAGCCTCCCCAATAAGCTGATACTAGAAACACACACCACTGCACGCAGACTGTCAGCATCTTTTTAATGCATGCATTAAGCACTACAAACTTCCCTTTCAGTACAACTTCAGCTATGTATTAAAAATATACTGCTATGTTTAACAACTTACCCCAAGCTGAGTGCCCAAATCAAAAGAATGTGTTATCTCAGCTTCTATGGGTCAAGAATCAGAAGCAGCTTAGCTAGGTGGCCCTGGCTTGGGGTCTCATGAGGCCACAATCAAAAGCATACACCAGGGCTATAGTATACGAGGTCTTAACTGGGGATGGAGGACCTGTTTCCAACACAGCTTGCTCATAGGGCTGAGCAGGAGACTTCAGGCACTGCCGTGAAGACTACCCAGCTGGCCATCTATGTGCCCCTCAATCTGAGGGCTGCTTCCCTCAAGATGAGTGGTTCGGGAGACAGAAGTGGCCATGTCTTGATTGCCTTGCACCAGAAGTCCAGCGACATCACTTACCCAACACCCTTTCAGTTACAAAGGTCGATCTTACTCAAGAAAGGAACTGCAGACGGGGGAGGATGAGGAGACGAGTATCACTGGGTAGCATACCTTCAGGGGCTGGCTCCCAAACAACACCTCCCAAGTTCTAATATGTAACGCTTTCACGATTTATCACTTCAAAATAATTCTACACCCTCTGCCCCACTCATTAACGTTGGAGCCCAGGTTTTTGGTTTTTTTTTGGTACCCAGAATCAAACTCACGACCTCACACTTGGCCAGGCAGGCACTGTGCCACTGAGCTATATCTCCAGCCCCAAAAATAATTTTAAATGTTTACTGTGATTTACCCTTTTGAGTCTGCATTACTTAAAAGTTCATTATTTAATTTCTAAAACTAAAGGCTATTCTGTTATTAATTCTGGCTGTTAGTAATTTCTGGCCTAATTACACTGGTTGTTGCAGAATACACTTAAGAATTATTTCAGTATTTTCAAATCTGTTGAGACTTGCTTAGATGCTTAGAATATAGATAACATTTATATTTAAACATCCCACTTATGACCAAAAGATGTAAAATCAGACGTAAGATTCTGTGTCATCCGGCTCAAGCCTGTTGCTTACATTGTTCAAATCTATAATCTTAAGACAGTTTTTCAGTTACTGAGAGGTAGAAGTACATTAATTTCATTTGCGAAAGTGGAGGTCTATTTCTCCCTTTAGGTTCTATTTATGCTGTGTATATTTTGAGGCTGTGTTACAAGTGAATAGATGTTTAGAACTCTTCTTCCTGTTTAACTCTTTATCATTATAGTTCTCTCTCTAAAAATGTAATTTGTCTTAAAGCCTATTTATCTGATGTTAATGTAACTACAAAATTTTATGATTCATGTTTGTGTAGTTTTTTCCACTCTCTAATTTAGTATCTCTTTATTCTTACTTCTTTTTGGTACCAGAAACCAAACTCAGGACCTTTGCTTACCAGGCAGGCGCTCGTGCTGCTGAGCTACATCCCCAGCCCACTATTCTCACACTGAATGTAAAGCGTATAATTGGGCTTCATTTTTTTTTAAACTAAATCTGAAATCTGTCTCGTTTTGTATCACACAATGCTCTTTAATTATGTTTACACTGACATTTAATGATGTCCTAGTATCACCTCAGCACTGCTCCACATCTTGCTTCTTTTTCTCTCCTCCTTGCTTTCTTTTCTACTTTCTTTCGTGACAGAGTCTCACTATGTAGCCCAGGTTGCCTTGAACTCACAGCAATCCCCCAGCTCAGGCTCCCAAGTGCTGGGATCGCAGGCGTGCACCATGCCTGGCTTCTGCTTTGTTCACTAGTCCTGTTTTTGGTCTCTAATAGCTTAGTAGTTACATATTGTTTTACTAATATTTTAGCTGCTATTTTAGAGGTTACAAAACACATCTTTATCTTAAAATCTAACATGAATTTTTATTTTTCAATCCTTAAACAGAAAGACCTTCGTGTACTACAGCTTCCTCTCCTAATGTTCACCCTAGCATTTCTTTACTTTGTTTCCAGTGGCAGTACAAAGAACTGGATCCAGCACCTCACACAAGTTCACCAAGCACTCATTCACCAAGCTACATCCCCAGCCCTTTTTTTTACTTTGTGTTGAGGCAGGGTCTCCGTAAGTTGTCCAAATAGACCTGTAATTTGCAACCCTCCTACCTCAGCCTCCCAAGCAGCTGGGATTCCAGGTGTGTCCCATCAAGCCCAATACCATACATATTTTAAAACCCCAAAGATAATACACTTGTTTTACATAATTACAGCCAACGTTTCTTCTCATTCATTACATCTTATTTTTTACACTCCACCCCTTCTGGCCCTCCCCAAGTTTCCACCAAGATCATAGTACCTTTCTGCCTAAATACTGCACTACTTAGAATTCTACTTACTGCTATTACAATGCTAAGAAATTCTCAGTTTGTCTAGAGATGCACTTACTGTCCCATCTTCACTACTTTAAGGTTCAGAATCCTTGACTGGCATTTTCTTAAGGTTATCACTCCTCTAAAGCAGCACTTTAAAGACATGACTCCTGTGTCTACCAACTCCATTGCATTTTTTTTTTTCCTGGTACCGGGAATCGAACTCACGACTTTGCGCTTGCCAACAAACAGAAGAACTAGGATGATCTGAAGCTGGGCTTCAGTCTTCTGTGTAACAGTAGGTTTATTTCTGGCTCATCTTTACTTCTAGGAGGAAAGCTACCAGATTCCCAACCTCAAGATACGGTTTTGTTTCGTTTTTTTTAACGAAGACTCCTTCTCCCCCAGACGACCTTGATCTCCAATTTTAATCCTCCCCCAACCCACAAATACCTGTCAAAAATCCTGCTATCTACCAGATCTTAAGAACTTAGTTTCTCATTCTACTATTTTGTCTACTTTTTCTATGTTCAAACTTTTCTTCCACCTATTGTGGAAAAAAATTAGTATCTGAGCAAACTTAATGAATTTAACAAAATCCACAGGTTTTTTGGTTGTTTTGCTTTGTTTTTGAGGCAAGGTCTCACTATGTAGCTCAGGCTGGCTTTGAACTCACTATGTAGCATACGCTGGCCTCAAACTCACACTGACCCTTCAGCCTCAGCTTCCCAAGTGCTGGGATTACAGATGTACAGCCACCACACCCAGCCAAAATCTGCAAGTTTTTTGGGGGGTTTCTTTTTTTTTCTTTTTTGTCTTTTTGAGACAGGGTCTCGCTATTCAGTTCAGGCTGGCCTTGAGCTCACTTTGTAGCACAGGCTGGTCTCAAACTTGCAACAACCCTCCTGCCTCAGCCTGCCAAGTGCTGGGATTACAGGCATGCGCCACCACGCTCAGCTCAAAATTCACAAGTTTAAAAGAGAAAAATAACCTGTAACCAGTTTGTAACTGACGCTCACCCAATTCAACCATAAATTTCAAAGAAGCAAAAAATCATCAAGAAGCATTCCAATAAAGCTCTACTATGTTAGATATATATTACATTCCATAACTTGTAGAAATATAAATGATTTTATTGTCTCTTGATTACCTAGGTTTAACACAGACCCCATAACTACTGAGCACATTACTATTTCTCAATTCCAAAGAGAACGAGCGCTAAAGGAAAAGGCAGTAATATACAGAGGTGCCAACTAAGCCAGAAGCTTACCTGCAGAGATGTGATTGACCCTGTGTGTCCTTGCAGCACAGCCACTGGGGCACAGGTTCTCAAGCACCACACCCTAATGATTTTATCACAGCTCCCTGCAGCAATCAAAGTATTCTCACAGTTCACCGCCATATCGGAAATTTCTGCAGAATGACCTCTTAGTGTGGATAACAGGCGGCCATTATGTGTTGACCAAATCTTTACCAAACAATCATCCGAACCCTAAGAGAAGAATATACCCAGATAGAAAATTCAGTACAAGCAAAATTTTTAAATCATCTAAAAGAATGCTTTTTACATATCGCCCAAATTATCTATCCACAGCCGTCCCCTCCTTCCAACTACAAAATGCTTAGTAAATAGTATTTCTCGTCAAACAAAATCTATGTACAGATACCCAAAATTATCATTTCTATAGATCAGATCACTTAAGAACTTTTTCTTTTTTGGTACCGGAATCAAATCCACGACCTTGTGCTTGCCAGGCAGGCGCTGTGCCACTGAGCTATATCCCCGGCCCCAAGAACTATTTTCCACAAAATTCTACACCAGTAACAAGTCCAAAAGTTCCTACATCAATTAACAAAGGTGAAACGTCAAGTCTAGCTCACTAAGCTAAATGAATGTTAGGAAACATCAAGTTTTCATAGTGTGTCAAAAACAAAACTAAGTGGCAATCCCCAAAACAGCAACGAAAATGGTAGGGAAAGCACCTCATATCAAATAAAAAACAACAGTCTCAAATTTATAATACCAGTCAGCACACCCAACATTCAACACAGTAGAGTATGTACTGTGAATGTCATACCTGCAAAATCAAAGTTAACTATCTCACCATCCTAATTTTTAACTTAAAAACACTAAAAAGGTTAAGTTCCAAATATTTCCATATAGTTTTCTAATAACTACTTGAACACAGAAAGGTTATTTTACAATCAGTCCATTTTTCTGGATCAGAGACTTATCCATACAAGTATAAATCACTTCTAATGGTCTGGAGGTTTTACACAGGTTTTTGTTTTTGCTTTGTTGTTGTTAACACATACTTAATAATGAAATATGTCTACCATGGGCTGGAGAGGAAGCAGTAGACATTCATATTTGAAGGCATCTTTAACAACAGTGCTTAAGATCTACTACTTTTAATTCAAATGTCCCTCAAAACAGTGCAGAGTGTCATGAATATCTGTGTTGAATGACTTGAGGTACTAATTAAAAATACAAATTTACTCAGGAGGCTGAGGCAGGAGGATCGCTGTGAGTTCAAGGCCAGCCTGGGCTACAAAGTGAGCTTAAGGCCAGCCTGAACTGCATAGCAAGACCCTGTCTCAAAAGGACCAAAAAAAAATTCATGAGCTCCATACAAGACCTACTAGCCAAAATCTCACATAATCTCTACACATTTTAATAAGCTTTCCAGATGATTCTTGAAGCACGCTAATGTACTCCAGTGACATCAAATGGAGTTTAAAATGTTAACTCACTGTAAAGATTCTATGTCCTGTTCTATCAAACGCTACACAGTAAACGGCAGACAGATGTCCAAGAATCCTCCTGTGCATTTTTATGTGCTGATACATAGCTCCAGGAAATGCTGTGCTAAAAGTGGAACACCCTGTGAGTTGCTTTCCTCGATGTATCTCCACTAGGAAATAAAAACAATGAAAATGGTTAAGGGAGAGCCAGTATGCAAAAGCTAAGAAAAATTCCAAAACAATTTCTGAAGAAACACAAAAATCTATGTTTCAGAAATTCTCAGGATACAAGTTTCTTTCCAATTTTAGTGTACTATAATCAGTAACATACACTGCTTAAGTATGGTAAGATTTCTCATTAATTTTATTTTTATTTAAGAAAACAATCCATTTGAAATTTGATACTTTTTATTACTTAAACAACACTACCAAGTATAACTTTTAGAGTTTAATATACAATTTATAAATTCTCTCAAATTTTAAAAATCCTTTCCGGCATTTGAAGGGCCAGCCTCACTCACCAATATTTGGTGGGGAGCCATAATTCACCGGCATTTCAGGAGGTCTTCCTCTGTGAAGAGCAGCAAAGGCAGAGCCCTTCCACACTGTGTGCCTGCAGTCTTTAAAATGAATTTTAGATACACATAAAATCTTGAAAGTTAACCCCAAGAAAGATTTTATAGAATACTTACGTATATTGTAATAAAACTGTTTATTCAAAGTTTTACCAACTAATATACTTTAACAGAAAAGCCCTGGAGGTTTATTAGACTATTTCTGAAGGGGAAAAAAATAAAATAAAACTTAAGACAGCTCAGATACAGCAGCAACAACAACTAACATTTGTGTAGCACTTTACAATTCACAAAGTGCTTTCCACATACAGTATCTCATTGAATCCTCACAACAACCCTGTGAGGTAGGTATTTTTGCCAATTTATAAGTGAGGTAACTGAGGCTCAAAGGTTCCAGGACCTTTAAAGAGATCCACTGTGAATGATTAAAGATGGACCATAAAACCACTTCTTTTTCTCCAAGTCTCACTTAATGCCAAATAAGTATTCATTTTTCAATGCGAAATTATACCATATAATATCAAAGATGAAAGGTCTTAGTCACAACTGATCCAGCTTTTCAAAAATGGAAACTTTCTTGAGGAAATTTTTAATTGATTTATATGAAAATCCTCTGAATTAACTTGTTCCATTTTAATTAATTTAGCCAATACTGCCATAACTTTTGTCTCCTTACAAAGTACTGACAAACAGCTTTCCCCTTGTTTCAGGATCGCAGATAATCCTTTACAGAAGCGCACATACGTAGGATCTGTGAGTCTGAACACTAATTCTGAAGTCCCATCCCTCCTTGACTTACAAGCAAATACAGGAAAAAATTTCTGCCCTCCTCTACAGGAGACAGCAGCACAATGCATATCACAGCAGTCATGCTGTGCTAGCAATCAGCTTCTTCACAACTGAAAGACCAAGGAAGGGAAGGCAACGTACTAAACTTCCACTGAGCCTCGGGTGCCCCAAACTAACAGGCATATTGTTTTTACATGAATGAATTGATTACGACTATCATGACCAAAGAGTAGTTACAAGGCATCCACTCATGGCACTAGTACAAAACAAACAGAAATATGGCCCTACCCTAACCCAATTTGCTGAAGTGTCTTCTAAGCTCTGCTATTTCTAAAATGGGTGCTCATCACAGAACAACAACATGGAGCTTGACACAAGAAAACAAAGGAAAACAAGCTACCCAAGTAACTAACTGTAACAACCTATAATATAGTAATTACAAGTAAATGGGACACAGAATAGTTTTCCTAATTAGAGCCACAGTGTGGCAAAGCTCTAGAGCACTAAAAAACAACTGAAGCCCACAGACCAGTCTGGCCAGGGACCAAGGAGGAGGACTGTTCTCAGAAGAGCTTTACACTGGTGGTGCATCTGAGAGGGAGCATCCCATCAGCAATGCTCCTCACAAAAAATAATCACAGGATGGACGTGATGTATGCTTGGGATCAGAAGAACCAACAATCTTGCCCATTAGCAGTTTAGCCACACAGGTATACATACATCATATCACATACATATACTTAGTCTAAGTCATTTATACCAAGCTAACAGAAAAAGAACAGCAATTTTCAACATTTTGCTAGGACATAACTTTGCAAAAAAATTAGTGAAAAAAGAATCATGCAATTTTACATTTTTGGTGCTTGTTTTCAAACTGCTACCAAATTTAGAAAATTGCTTCTCCCTTGTAACAAAGGGCTTTCAGAATCTAAATATCAGTAAAATACCTCTAGCATTTAAAGTTTATTAAACACATACAGTTACATTCAATAAAGTTATGGGTGAGCTACAAAATGGAAAATTAAGAACTCACATTAATAAAACCTCAAACACATCTCAATAAATTCAAGCTTTTTAGCTTAACATCTATATCTTTATCATTTTTTAGATGCAGAAAGACCCATTAAACACTTACGTAATAAAATTCAAAGTTCTATGCTAAATGCAGAGAAATTTATAGTCCACAGCATGATTTATAGTTACATATCACCTTTCTTCCACAATGCTTACATTACTTCACAATTATAATAATTATGTAAAGCAGAACACTTCTTCAAATTAAGGTACCTTTTGCTGTACGTAGCAAAGACTGTCTTCCTGCACCAAGTAAAGAAGTGACTCTTGAGATACTGGGTGGAATTTCTTTATCCAGCATAGGACCGATGCGCTGGCAGATTTGCAACAGATGATCAGGAGCCACATGCTTATTAGACAAGACCTGGTTGGAGAGTTCAGTTTTAATAACAACACTGTTTATAGTAATATCAAAAACAGTAAATATCTAGGGATGAGTCTAACAAAATGTGAAAAACAAACTAAAAGTTATAAAACACACTGAGATAAACTTAAAAGTGAATTAATCTATGGATTCAAACCTATCCCAATCAAAATTCCAGCAGGATATATTTTAAGAAATTGACAATTTTATTCTGAAATTTATACGCAAATACAAATGCCATTTAAAAAGCCAAAGCAGGGGCTGGGGATTTAGCTCAGCAGCACAGCACCTGCCTGGCAAGCGCAACATCGTCAGTTTGGTTCCCAGTACCAGAAAAAAACAAAAAAAAGCCAAAGCAACTTTGAAAAATAACGAATTTTCACAATACTTAATTTTAAGACTTGCTATAAAGCTAACAATAATCAAAACAATACAGTATTATTCAATGAACAAACTGTCCAGAATGGGATCTACACATATTTAGACCACTCATTTGACAAAGGTACAAAGGCAATTCTGTGGGGAAAAGGAAGTCTTTTCAACAAATGGTGCCGAAAAAACTGCCAAAACTAAAAAATAATTTTATCATTACCTCATAGTATAAACAAAAATTATCAAGATAGATCTTGTATCAGCTAAAACCAAACTCCCAGAATAGAACAGTAGAAACACTCTATGACCTGAAATTAGGCAAACCTGTCTAATTAAAAAAAAGTCAAATATAACACCAAACTAGACTTCATCGAAATTAACAACGGCTAAAAAAAAAAAAAAAAATTAACAACGGCTGGGCATGGTGTGCGCACCTGTAATCCCAGCACTTGGAAAACCCTGGCAAGAAGTTCAAAGCCAGACTAAGCTACAAAGTAAGATTCTACTTCAAAGTAAACAATGAAAGGGGGGCTGGGGATTTAGCTCAGCGGCAAACGTGCCTGCCTGGCAAGCACAAGGTCGTGAGTTCGGTTCCCGGTACCGGAGAAAAACCAAAAAACAAAAAAAAGAAAGCTAGGGCCTGGGTATTTAGCTCAGCGGCAAAGCGCCTGCCTGGCAAGCGCAAGGTCATGAGTTCGGTTCCTGGTACCGGAGGAAAAAAAAAAAAAACAATGAAAGGGATGCAACGATGGTTCGATATATGCTATTAAATAAATGTAATATACCTTTTCAGCAGAGCCAGCAACAAAAAAACCTTACACGATCATCTCGATAGATGCAGAAAATGTATTTGACAAACTCCAATTCCCATTCATGAATTAAAAAAAAAACCTACAGCCCAGCATAGTGACACACACCAGTATTCCCAGTACTCAGGAGGCTGAGGCAGGAGGATTACTGGGAGTTTGAGGCCAGGCTGGGCTACACAGTGAGTTCAAGGCCAGCCTCCTGAACTATACATGGCGAGGCCCTGTCTCAAAAAACAAACAAAAAAAAACCTACAAAAAATTTGCAATAGATGGTCTTTATCTCAATCTGATTAGAGCCATCAAAGAAAAACCAACAGCCCCAACATCATAATACATGGTCAAAAACCAAAAGCTTTCACTCTAAATTTAGGAACAAGACAAGGATTCCACTCTCACCACTCTTATTCAATATGATTCTAGAAACATTAGCTAGAGCAATTAGACAAGAGAAAGGAACAAAAGGAATAAGAATAGGAAAGCAAAAAGTTAGATTATCATTATTTGCAGAAGACATGATACTCTACACAGAAAACTCCAAAAACACCAAAAGACTTCTAGATTTAATAATCAAATTCAGTCACGTAGTTGGATACAAAGTCAACACTGAACAATCAATAGCCTTCCTGACACAAATAACAAACTCAAGAGAGAGAAATCAGGGAAACAACACTTATCACAATAGTATCCAAAAAAATGAAATACCTAGGAATCAATCTAACAAAGGAAGTAAAAGACCTCTACATTGAAAACTACAGTATTCTGAAAAAGGAGATTGAAGAGCGTATCAGAAAACGGGAAGATATCCCTTGATCTTGGGCAGGAAGAACCAACATAGTGAAAATGTCCATACTTCCAAAACTGTTACACAGATTCAATGCAATCCAGATCAAAATTCCAACAGCGTATCTCACAGAATTAAGAGAATACAATCCTAAAATTCATTTAGAACCAGAAGAGACCTAGAATAGCAAAGGTAATTCTGGGCAACAAAGGCAAGCCAGAAGGCATCGCAATACCGTACCTGAAATTATACTACAAAGCTAGTGTGATAAAAATAGCATACTGGAAAAACAGACCCAAGGATCAATGGAACATATTAGAAGATGCAGAAACAACTGCAGACATACTCAGCAACCTTATCTTTGACAAAGGTGCCAAATATGTTCCCTAGAAGAAAGACTCTTGAATAAATGGTGCTGGTAAAACTGTCTTTCCACACGCCTAGACTCTTTATCTTTCACCATGCACTAAACTAAAATCAAACAGGTCAAAGATCTACATATTAAAACAAACATTAAATCCGCTGGAAGAGAGAATAGGTAGAACTTTTGAAGACACTGGTGTGGGCAAAGACTTTATGAACAAAACCACAATCACACAGGAACTATCACAAAGACTCAACAACTGGGATCTCATCTTATTAAAAAGCTTTCTGCAGCAAAAGAAACCACCGAGAGTGAAGAGACAACCTACAGTGTGGGAACATATTTACTATCAAGAATATATAAAGAGCTCAAAAAAATAAGACCTCCCAATTTTAAAGACCCAAACCAAAAATGGGCATCTGAGACGAATATACACTTCTCATATGAAGAAATACAAACAGCAAATATATGAAAAAATGTCCAACATCACTGGTCATTTAAGAGATGCAAATTAAAACAACAGAGATTCTATCTCACCTCGGAAAGAATGGCTGTGCTCAAGAAATCAACCAATAAGAAATGCTGGCAGGGCTGTGGGGAAAAAGGAACTCTTCTCTGTTGGTAGGAGTGTAGATGGGTCCAAGTACTATGGAAATTAGTACGGACACTTCTCAAAAAACTAGGACTAGAGGTTCCCTTGAACCCAGCTATTTCTCTGTTATCTTTCCAATAAAATTAAAAGCATCATACCACAGCAAATTATGCACACCCATGTAGCAGAAATTATGCAGAACAGATTGTAATAGCCAAATCTTGGAAACAGCCCAAATTCCCATCAACTGGTGAATGGATAAAGAAGATGTGTTTTTTCTTACAATGGAGTACTATTCTGCTATAAAGAATGATAAACTTGAGATATTTCTAGGTTAACAGATGCACCTTGAGACCATACTCTTATGTGAAATAAACTGGACACACGTGTAAATATTGTACTGTTTCTCTGGTGTGAGAAACCAAAAATGTAAATAAGGACCAAAATATGCAATAGGTATTGTGAAACAGGAAGAAAATGTTCAAATGGGGAGGGGAACAAGAGGACAGAGAGGGAGAAAGGAAAAGGAAAATTTTTAAAAATTGAGAAAAGAACAAATGGAAACATCTTTTGTAAATGGGGAGGGTGGAGGGGTTGAAGGGAGCATACGGGAATGAGAAACAAAAAATGATCAAGCTATATCATGTACAGGTACAGATTCTCTATGATGAATGTGATCATTATGGACATCTAAAATGTACGGCCAGGGGCTGGGGATATAGCTCAGTGGCATAAGCACCTGCCTGGCAAGCACAAGGTCCAATGTTCGAGTCCCGGTACAAAAAAATAAATAAATAAAATAAAATGTACAGCCAGGCCTGGTGGTGCCCACCTCTAATCCCAACACTCAGAAGGCTAAGGCAGGAGTATCATTCAGAGTTCAAGGGCAGCCTGGGCTACAGAGTGAGTTCAAGGACAGCCTGAACAGCATACTGAAACACTGTCTCAAAGAGACATACATAGGTATGTAAAATGTACCAAGAAAATGTGAATGAAGAAAAAAAAAAAAAAAAAAAAAAAAGACTTTGAAAATCAAGATCCAAGTTCCTCATTTCTACATAAATCAGGAAAGACAGAATATAAACTTCATTATCTTAGTTTATACATTCCTAATAAATTCCTTGGATTAAGGGGCTAAAAAAGGAGAGGTACAGCTTCCATTTATCTCACAGCTACTCAATACTAAAAATTGTTTTAATTGTCCTGCAAATAAACATACATCTTTCAGGGAAATTATAATACATCAAAGATCAAGCAAAACATTATTTAACAACTATTTAATTACAGCCCTCCAGGAAGCTGACACAGGAGGAGTACAAGCTTGAGCCCAACCGGTGCAAGACACTGTCTCAAAACAAAACACAAAGGGTGAGGGATATAGTTAACTGTGAAGGCCCTCAGTTCAATGTCCAATACAGTCAAAAAAAATTTTTTCAAAAGAAAATGTATCACACTAAGCATTAAGCCTTAATTCTTTTAATAAATACTGACAGCTAGAAGCTAATAGTAGACATTTCTACAAATAAATATAGACAATTACAGGTCGACACAATTTTAAGTTAAAAATGACCATCTGTAGGCAGGGATATGGCTCAGGGGTAGCACATTTGCTAGTATAAAAGAGGTCCAGGAATCAATCCCAAGGAAAACATACGCACGCCCACACACACAAACTTACTATTAAAATAGTAACCATGAGAACGAACTGGACATACTTAAAAGAACGATAAATTGAACCCATCAAAGTGTAATAGAAAATGCCCCACCCAGCCAATATACTTCAGTTTCTTAGTTGCCCAGGTAAGATTTCCTGTTCCAGTTCTGGGTACTTCTGTCTCTTAGAAATGGCTGGTCACTGTGGTACACACTACATACACCAATCCCCAGTTGACAATCCATTTCTATACTTTCTGCTTGCTTGTCCCATACAAGCCCTAGACCACCAGAGATCAGAGCCTGATATTCTGGGAATGATCCTCATCAGTGCCCACAGAGGTAAATAAATCTGCCTCAAAATTCTGGGTGTGGTTTCAGTGTTTCTGCTTGCAATAGCAAAAGAGCTAAGGAAACAAATGTGAACTACATCTCAGAAAAGTGATATGCCCTTCCAGTGAACAGAAAAAGAGATTTGTGGGTTACTTTAGTCCCACAAAGGACAAGAAGAAATGGTAACAGATAAAAATAAGGAAAATGGTGACAAACTTTCAACAACCTTAACAGCCACCTGTGGCACCGGTGACATGACTGCCCAGAAGAATTTTTTTTTTTTTTTGGTCTTTTTGAAACAGGGTTTCACTACGCAGTTCAGGCTGGCCTTGAACTCAGCAATCCTCCTGCCTCAGCCTCCCAAGTGCTAGGGTTACAGGCATGCGCCCCCATACTCAGCTAGAAGGAATCCTGAGGTGCATAAAGGTCATGGATGACGCTGTGGGTTTTGACGAGCACGTGGAAGGCTCTAGGCTCACTCCTCTATACCAACACAAAAACAGAAACAGAAGCAAAAACAAAAACAAAGCAAATACAGGGAAGGAAAGTCCTGAATGCATCTGCATCCACCCCAATTCTCTCGCACAGGGCTGTGAATGCTGGTACGGCAGCACAGGGAGAAACCCCCATTCCAGGTGTACTGCAGAGATCCACACAGGCTAGTGACAGGGAACAGAGCAGGTGCCAGAGACAGCCAGGGGCAGAACTGCAGAGCAAACCCACAGAGCTGGCGGCTCAGTGTAAACATAGCAAGATCTGCAAAGGCCTTTTTTTTGTGGTATCAGGAATCGAACTCACAACCTCGCGCTTGCCAGGCAGGCGCTTATGCCACTGAGCTATATCCCCAGCCCTACAAAGGCTTTAAAGGGACAGCTTCACTACAAAATAGAGACCTATCAGGAATTTCACCAGTGCCAAACAGCAAGTTCTACTGGAGGGAAATCTTGATCTGATTTTCAAAACACATCAAATCAGTGATGAACTAACTGCTCCAATGAAGCCCAGACACCAACAGTTATGACTTAGACTGGTTCAGCCCCACACTAACAGCCCTTCCCAGGCTCAGTGTTCCTCTGACACAAAAAGTGCCAGCTACCTCCACACACAGCGAGTGTGAGCCCTGGCTCAGCAGATGCCCAGCCAGGTTCGTACCTTCAAACTGTTTCTTCTGGCCTCTTCTATCCTTTCTATGTGAGACTTTAGTTACACGTAAGACTATATGACAACATCCCGTTGTCAACAGTTAAAATCAATCCACAGAACTCCTCCTATGTAGCTGGAATTACAAGTGTACAATGCCTGAGGGGAAGATGGTTACTGGATATTAAACATGAGCCTTCACACATTCCCACCCGTCTTATGTATTTTTTATCCTGAGATGGTATCCTGCAGAGTCGCTAAGCTGCCCAGACTGGGCTCAAACTTGGGATCCTCCTGCCTCAGCCTCCCAGAGTGCCGGGTTTACATGTGCACACCATGCTCAGCTGCTTGGCACCTTCTGACCTTATGATGTCTTACAGTGCCATACTGGAGAAACCAACAGGAGAAGGTGGCCAGCAGCCAATTTAGGAACTGAGTACCTCAACCTAACAATCCTCTAGGAACCAATACTGCCAAATACAAATACTCTGTGGGCATGGAGACTGACCTTTCCCCAGACAAACCTGCACAAGTCCCAGCTCAGGCTGACAGTCTGTCTGCAACCCTGACAGAGACAGAGGATCCACCCAAGCTGTGCTTGGACCCTTTATGAGGGAATCATAATCTGTACTTTAAACCAGTAAAAGTTGGAATAATCTGTTATGCAGCATACATAATGACTACAGCACATCATAGTACAACACAATAATAAAATATTTTTGGTGGTCTGGGAATCAAATCCAGGGTCTTGCCCATGCCAGGCAAGGACTCAACCACTCCATTATAGCCCAGTCCCAAAATGAAAACCGTAACAAGCAGCAAGATGAGAAAAACACATCTGACCAAGGTCTTGGAAAAGTGTCTACGACGGATGACTGAGATAGAAAAGCTTCACCAAATGGGGGTTTCAACTCCCCCTCACCCCAGTTTGGACTCTGGAACTTACTCCCTTAAGCCTTTCTGTTAAAAGCACTGTGGCACAATAAAGGATGAGTTGTTTAAAAAAAAAAAATCTTCAGAGCAGTAACAGTAACACTTCTAAATAGCAATCTTCAAAATCAAGCAAACTATGAGACTATAGGACATCTTTAATTCATATGAATGAGGATACACACATATATCATTTATACAGAAAGCATTACATATACATCACAGTATTATATACATTGTACGTACACACCAGAATAATTTCACAGCTAGCAAAAGTTTGTTTGCTTTGTGATACTAAGAACTACACTCAGGATATCCGGGGCGCTCTAGCACTGAGCTATACCCCCACCTGATTGTGCTTTTGTTTTTAATTTTGAGACAGAGTCTCATTAAGTTGTCATGGTAGCTTCAAACTTGTGATCCTCAGTAGTTGGGAATATAATCAAGCACCGTCACACCTGGATAAAAATCTTTCATTTTATAAAAAAGGCTGAACAAATGTCTTCAACTCAAAATGTTTTTTGTTTTTTTGTTTTTTGTTTTTTTCTCCGGTACCAGGAACCGAACTCACGACCTTGCGTTTGCCAGGCAGGCACTTTTGCCACTGAGCTAAATCCCCAGCCCCTCAAAATGTTTTTTAAAAAGTTATTTTTTATCATTAAATCTTCATTAAAAGGAATACCAAAATAAATTTTGCAGACTGAAGAAAATTTATCAGAAATAAAACCTATAGAACTGTAAGAATTCAAAATACCAGGGAAAGTATATAGGTAAGCAAGTAAATACTAACTTTTAAAAAGCAGCAACAGAGCCAGTCGTGGTGGTGCACGCCTGTAATCCCAGCACTCGGGAGGTTGAGGCAGGAGGATCTTGCAAGTTCAAGGCTAGTCTGAGCTACAAAATGAGTTTAAGGCCAATCTGAATGGCATGGCGAGACCCTGTCTCAAAAAGACCAAAAAAAAAAAAAAAAACTAGCAATAACATCCTGATAAATTCATCATACAGACAAAAGTAAGATGATTAACAGTACAAAAGCCAAAAAAGTGACAACTGAAACTAACAATGAACTAACTTCACTTATCCGAAAAAAGATAAAGGAGCCTAGGTATGCATACTGTAATCTCCTGGAAAAGCACTGAAAGGATGAAAGGATACATAACTAAGAAGAAATACAAAAAAAAAAAAAAAAAGAATTACTTGACCAAACCTAAAGAAATTGAGAGAAAAGAAATAAAAGAGAAATGGTAGGCAGGTATGGCAGCCCACACCTGCAATCCAACCTACTCTGGAGGCTGAGGCAGGAAGATCAAGAGTTCAAGGCCTGCCTAAATGACTATCTCAAATTTTAAAAAGGTCTGGGGATATAGCTTGGTAGTAAGAGTGCTTGTGGCACAAAGCCCTGGGTTCAATTTCTAGCACTACGAAACTTAATAATAATTAAGACATGATTCACAATATGCATAAAAAGGATAAATACAGTGAACATTGTATTTACCAGTGAACATCATACTTATGCATCAAAACGCACTATACCCCACTGAATATGTATAATTATGTCCATTTTAAGAAGAAATGAGGGGCTGGGGATTTAGCTCAGTGGCAAAAGCGCCTGCCTGGCAAGTGCAAGGTCGTGAGTTCGGTTCCCGGTACCAGAGAAAAACCAAAAAAAAAAAAGAAGAAATGAGATAGTAGTTAATAAAATTAAGTCCAATTAAGATGAAGTATATTAAATAAAAATGATGTAAGCATAACTGAGAAAATGCATAATAAAACTACACATCGTTTGTAAGAGAGACATTAAGTATGAGAATACAGAAAGAATGAAGGTAAAAGGATGGAAAAAATATACAGTGCCATTGCTAAGCACAAGAAGCTGAGGCCAGAGGAGCTCAAATTCAGGCCAGTCTGGTCAAACCAGTGAAAAGGTGAAACCCTATCTCAAAAATAAAAAAAGGAGAAAAGGACTGAAGATTCAGCAAATCTACGGTAGGGAGAGGGAGGGAGAGAAAAGGAGAGAGGAGGGGCCGGAGACTGACTGAGACTTAAAGGGAAGCAAAGTAGACCTTAAGGCAAGCAGAGGCATTTCCTAATTTTAAAAACAAGGGTTGGGGCTGGGGATTTAGCTCTGTGGCACAGCGCCTGCCTGGCAAGCTCATGGTCGTGAGTTTGATTCCCGGTCCCGGCGGGGGGGCGGGGGGGCGGTAAATTTGTCATGTGCCTAGTAACAAAATTCAAAATAAAAAAAAGAGTCAGGAATCCACAATCCACAGCTGTAAGTTTTAACAAATCTTTCTAAGAAACCAGTGAAATACGCTGCCAAAAATCCATATGGATAGATGATCCAAAAGAAAACAGAATTCTAAGGACTTTTATCCTTAGACACAAATAACTGCTGTGACTAGGTGAGGCTGTGGAACTACAGTATGCTGAACACAGCACAGGCAAGTCCGAGGGACTCCCAGACAGCAATACCACCACCAATACCCAGCACTGCACTACACAGACTGTTCCTCATCCAGCCACTAGCATTCATACAGAGAATTTGCCACAAACAAATTAAGTGACAGAAAAACCAATTATCTTTTACTGTTTTATCAGCAATAAATGTTACTACTACTTGACTACTACTGCATGTATACTGTAAAGCCATCTTTTTCATATGTTTACAGTAATTTGAGGGGGTACTGGTACTTGAACTCAGGAACTCACACTTGCCAGGTACAGTAATTTTCGATACAATTTTCATTATCTCTGCTATACCGATCAAAAAATTGGTGTTAAGACTAAGTAATTTGCTGCCTGGGAGACTGAGGCAGGAAGATCACTGCTAGACTTTAACTTCTTATCACACTGCCATGATTAGTGTTCTGCAAATTACCAATGAAATGCTTACACAATGACCTTTCTCTACAATCAACTTCAAAGAAAATGCAGGCTCCACAGATGAAAGAAATTAACTATACTCTGTATAAAAAGGTCTTTAGAATCCCACAATGAAAATAAAACAGTAACAGGATGAGTTACAGTACTGGTGAGGAAGAATGTTTATAAAAACATTTATTTTAAATAGGTAAGAGCATGCACACATGTAATCCCAGCACTCAGGAGCCTGAGGCAGGAGGACTGCCATGAGTTCAAGGCCACCCTGGGCTACACAGTGAGTTCAAGGCCAGCCTGAATTTCATGTCTCAAAGCTAGACCTGGCTCAAAAAATAGTAACAAAATAAAACAATAGGTAAGATTACCACAAAAAAGATTCAATCTGAGACTCAAGTAGATCCTATCTAACCCCACCTGGTTCGAAGTCTTGGCCTATAGCCATCTATCATGCCTGATTTCTAAATCCTATAGTATTTAGATGGGGACATTGTTCCATTTTTGGATACAGAGGTAATTAATAACTCAAAAAGGTTGGCAAATAAGCAAAAATGAAGTAAAAAAGAAAGCACAGATTCACCCATACAAGTCATGTCTATTCTGATATAGTAACAAAACTGTGATCTCTGAGTGACTTTTATTTATGTTTAATATAGTAAAAAGAACTTACAAAATAAATTTGAAATACTGTATTTACAGAAGTTAAATCCTCAGAAAGAACACACTTAGACTTATTTTAAGTTTACTCCTACTTGGTGTAGTATCTGTGTGATACGACTGTGTAAGTGGAATTATGCATCTTAAGATTAAGATGCATAATTAAGTTACTAATTGAAAATCAAAGTGTATACTTGTTTGTACACAAAATTTCTAATTGAAGGTTTAAGAGAAATGACAACTCTAATAAGCTAAACACTGATTTCAATACAAGTAACTCATCTTTTGTTGTTTTGTTTTTTGAGACAGGATCTCACTATGTATTCAGGCTGACCTTGAACTCACTATGTAGACCAGGTTGGCCTTGAACGTGTGGCTATCCTCCTGCCTCAGCCTCCCAAGTGCTGGGATTACAGGTGTACACCACTACATTGAGCCCAAATAACTTTCAAAAGTCTATTTTTCACACACAAGTCCTATCCAAGCACTTAAAAAAAAAAATCTTAATGACAACCATCCCTCCAATGATTTACTACAATGTAAGAATGATCTGCTTTTTCTTGTTTCCCTTTTTTAGTTTTCTTTTTTCTGGCTACCAAAGAAGTCGATCTGTAAAAACAAATTATGTTGGGCCAGGGATATAGCTGAGTGGCACAGCACTGGCCTAGCAAGTGCGAGGTACTGAGTCTGATTCCCAGTACAAAAAAAAGCTACTCAAAGCTCTAAATCTCTTAATATGCACTAATAAAAAAATACATAGGAGAGAAGAGAAAAGATAACCTGAATCCCCCGCCCAGGAATAAGCTTTTAATAAGCTCCCCCTTAGCTGGGCGTGGTGGCGCACGCCTGTAATCCCAGCACTTGGGAGGCTGAGGCAGGAGGATCGTAGCAAGTTCGAGACCAGCCTGGGCTACAAAATGAGCTCAAGGCCAGCCTGAATGGCATAGCAAGACCTTGTCTCAAAAAAGACAAAAAATAAAAAATAATAGTAATAATAAGCTCCCCCTTTACAAACCTAGCCCTTAGAAGTCCTCATGCCTGACAGAACAGTTCTATTCTTCCTCTTTCACAAATCCGAGACCAGCCAAGGCAATGTGTTGAGACCCTGTTTCAAAATTTAAAACAGGATTTAGTTCTTGTGCCGTATTCAAGAGTCACTCTTCTGTCCCTTCTGCACTGCCCTGCTCTCAAGATATAATAACACAGTTTACAACGGTGTTTGGTCCAAGACAATTCACTCCCTGTGGCTGCTAGATTTCAGAACCAAATCTCCAGAATGGTGAGTTTCCCCTCCCTGGGGCCCTTCCAGAGTGAAGCTGACCTTTACTTATCTCTGGATCGTATTCTCAAAAACTCCTCCAGATTTAATACTAAAGCTCTCAAAAAATAAATGCACAGGTTTTAGTCCAAGTTTATCTGCCTGTTAGTCTGTAGGGAGAACTGGAAATTAACTCCTCTTGCTTCTCTCTCCCCTCAAGAACAATGCTGACTGGTTTCTATAACACAGGGCAGACTGATTTTTATAACACAGCTAAGTTCAAGGATAGAACAAAATATTCCTAGAGAACCTCATGAATTTAATAACAGTTTTAAATGGAAACAGGTATTAAAGAATAGGCAAAGCCCTGTCTCCTGGGGACTGCCTCATTCATCATGATTTCTCTCCAGAACATCTTACCAGGCCGGCCACTATTCTCAGAGATATGCTAATGGAGGATCTGACCAAGGAAGCCCTACAGCTAAGCATGGTCCAAGGATCACAAGGAAGGGGGCCCAGGTGCACAGTAAGAGGAGCTAACCCGGTTCTGGCCACTTCCTTGCACCTCCAACCTGCCACCACTGGCACGGGACAGGGTGATGTGTAAGGGATGCCTTACAATGGGCACAGAGGAAGAGGGGCAGGCGGGGACACCTTCTTCCCCCTTGTTTCTTTTCAAAAAGGAAAAACACTGCCAAAAGGAAGACATCTACAGCAGAGCCAGTTGGAGCCTCAGCAGGCCTTCCTCCCCCACCATTTGGAATCCATACTTAGCTCCAAAGAGTGCCACCTAGTCTCTCTCTACTCAAACCTGGCCTGGCTCCCCCTGTAAATAGTTAAAATTACTTTTAACAGACTGTCCCTTTAGAGGGAACAGTCACAGGTGGCTATCAAAAGGCAGATTTGGCTATCAGCTGTGACTATCAAACAACTGTGGCTATCAAAGCAACAATGAGGAGCTTGTACAGATGGGTATTCCAATCAGATAAACCATCAGCCTAGGGCCCATCTTAAAAACTGTCT